ATGTTCTTGTTTAGTATTAAGGTGGTTATGGAATAGGCTACTTTTTTTCAAAATTGAATAAAAAATAAGAAAATGGCGGCGCCTCAAAAATTTTTTTTCGTTTTTTTGAAAAATTTCTTCACTTTTTTGTTGATTAAAAATCCAATGTTTGAGCTATCAATATAATTGTAGCCTATTCCATGGACACGTTAATTACGCGTATTTTAAAAAAAAATTCATTAAGATTCATTAAAAATTGGCGGAGATATTATGGTCGCCAGCTCGAAAAATGTAGTTTTCCAGAAAACGCGTTTAAAGTTTTATGTTTCCTCTGTAACTGCTTTGAGTCGGCCGGTTCGGAGGCTCATAACTTTTAAACTATTACGTATTTCGATTTGCCCTTTTAGTATGATATTCTAGACACCTAAAGCTATCAAAAAATGCAAAAACAAAAAATTCGATTTTTTTTTTTCAACTAACCAGAATGGACCCTTAATTTCTGGGGGTAGCTAAAGGATCAATAAACACACACCGTTAAAAGTCAATATTTTGATTTTCCGCGCAGGCGAGGGACAGCCAACAAACAAAAGGGAGCGGCGCACCGAGCAAATAGAAAACTTCGCCAATGTCAAACAGAAAGCGAAGGAGACAGGCAGAGTTTTCCCTGAGTTTTCCCTATGCTCCTCGGCCTTTTGTCAAAAAGAATCAACAGCAAAAGGGAAGGGGACAAAACTGAAATCGGATATTAAACGTTGAACAGCCAAAATAGAAAGAAGAAAAAAAATACACAAAGCCAACAAAGGCGAAACAGGAGAGGCCAAAGGATATTTTCCAAAAGCGGCGATAAGAGAGGCAGAGAACAAAGGACCAAAGAATGAAATTAATACATTTGACCAGAGAGATAGGAGAGTCAAAGGAGGAGCAGGAGCAGGAGCAGGGACAGGAGTTTGGGCCATGTCTAGTTTAAGTTCTAAATAGTTGCTCTAATATGTCGATGGTAAAATAAAACCCACAGGACACAGGCACGTGTGTGAGTGAGGGGATATTGCAGATATTGTCCTTGTAATTGAGCCAAGAGTTGCTATTTGCACTTGGCGAAAAATTCATTTAAATGAAAATATAAAAGAATATGAATATGATCAAAATTTTAAGAATTTCTTACTTGACTTCATGGGATTCTTCTTCGTTTTTTCTAAAACTTTTTCCATGTCCTTACAAATACCCTACAAAACCCCTTTATTCTTGAGTTATTTTAGCTCTCAGTGCATTCTTGTTAACAATGTCAATTGCAAAGTGCAGGCCACAAAAACTTTGGCATAAACACACACACAACCTAGCCCTTAGTCCTACGTCCTTCGCCCCCTGCTGGAGATGTGGCTGCGGATGCAAGCGGCTCCAAAGGCCATAACTCCAAATTGGCCATTCGATCTGGTTACTTAAAGGGTAATTAAATTAACTACCGCACAGCAGCAAGCAGAAAGAAGCTAGCAGCATTGCAGGCACTGTACGGATACGGAAGTAACTCTGCCAGCATGTCGTCCCTGTTGACATCCTGCCTGCCAGGAGCTGCGCCCGGCGGCAGACAAACAAAGGGACGAACGCGCGAAGAGACAGAGAGATTTTTTCCATATGCATATTTCATTATGACTGCTTTTTTAGGGGTGGCAAATAAATAAAAAAGGTAAAGGGGTTCCGGTTTCCTGGTTTCGATTCCGGGCTCAAGGGTGTTTGCCTTATCGCGTGCCAAATCATCGTTATGATTGCCCAACGCTGCCTCCTTTTGCTCCGTTTGTTGTTCAAAATTGATTATCAAATCGTGATTAAAATATATATTCTGCTACTGCTAATGACTGTGTTGATTAATTATGAATCAATTACATTGTAAAAAGATAGCCCAGGCTCATCATCATCATCATCATCCTCATCTTTTATCTGTTTCACAAAAAAGGTGCCAGAGCGATGCAAATCAAATTTGTCATGCTTTAAGGAAGGGCATCCTGACACTTTTCGGGGAGGAAGGCAGCGGGTGAGGAGTACAAGTACGATTTATGGTAGGGATTAAGGTTAGCCACGAAGGCTAACTGGGGATATATGTGTTTCTGGTTGAAAGTGGGAGAAGGATTCTTTTGAATCGATTGAAATAGGTGTTATGATTAATGGTTTAATAAGGGGGTTTTTTTATGTTGTTTGCCAAGTTGTTGAACCAGATTGGCATTATTAAAGAGAGGGGGAAGGAGTTCGAGGAGTTCGATTAATAGAATATAATTTTAAAATATTAAAAAAATTAAAGATAAATAGTAATAAAAACAAATAAAAATTTAGCTTTTATATTACAACAATTTAATCAACTTTTTCTTAGTTTCCCGAAAGAAATTGCTCATTTCCTTTTCAAAAAATAAGTACCAAAAAAAACCTTTGACTAAACTAAAAATAGAACTTCTTCCCTTTGGTCTTTGTCAACTTTTAATTCGATTACACGAACTTCTCGAAAACTTTATTCAAATTAACAAAACAAAAAAATATATACTATGTGCCAGGCTTTGAGCTGAAAAAGCTCTGAGCGCAACCTGGGCAACAATTAAAAGTAAACAAAAATTTAATTATGCAGCAAAAAGGGAAAGAGAGAGAAAGCTAAAAAGAAAGAGGGGGAGAGCCAAGACTGTTGCAATTGAATTAGCCAAAAAATTCCAAATGTTTCGTGGCCAGACTGATGATGATGATGATGATGAGAATGCAGAACAGAACAGCACCGGAACCGGAAGAGGGGCAGCACCAGGCACCAGCAAAAGCGGAAGAGGAGGAGGAGGAGGGAAGGAGGCAGTGGAAGATGGCGGACCATTCAAGTGCGGCGAATTGAATTTCTCATTCAGGCAAAGTTTTTCAAGGAAAATGGCGCAAGGTGCTGGGCGGGCGTCCTGTTTGGGGGTTGTTTTCCACAAAAATTATAGTCAAAAGAAAATTTGATTTTGCAAACTCACACACACACACAGGCAGCAGGCACTGTGTAATTGAATTGAGCGCCGAAAAGCGCGCTACGAAAAATGGCAGTTGGCATTAAAGGCGAATAAGCCGAGGAGCAGGACGAATAAAAGGACCAAGGCAGCGCAACCACAAAAGGCTGCAAAGAACCCACACACACACACACAGACACAAAACAACATACACACAACAATGGCTGCTGGCTAATAAAATAAACGAAAAGCTTTTGTAAGCAAATTGAAAATATAAACAAACGGAAAATTGATAAAGAACATAAAAAAAAAGAAGGAGCACACAACACAGAAAAATAACAGCAAACAAAATGGAATAATAAAAAAGATAGAGAAAATATATATACCAAAAAGTGTATAAAAAAATGTATAGAAAAAACCCATCTAGGGAAAGGCACAAAAATTGGTCAGAGCCCAGGACAAACACAACACAAAAAAAAAGGATAAACAAAAGCCGCTTCACACACACACAGAAGAAAAGCTAGCCAACAATATAAAAAACGGAAATAAAAACAAATGAAAAAAGTAGCAAACAAAAGCCAATTCACAAGTGGAAAATGCATAACAACAAAGTTTTTTTTGTCGTTGCTATTTTAACAAAAGGAAAGAGGGTACAAAAAACCACACAGATAAAAAACAAACTTAAACTTTGGGTAGGAAAAACCTAAAAAACATTTCAGAAATACAAACAAGTATTTATTTTATTTAAAATCATATTATAAATACAGTTCTAAAGTTATCAGAACCTTCAACAAACTTGCTCTATAAATTATGTACAAATTATTTAATAATTATTTAAATATTTTGTGTAAACTTTAGATAAATGGTTTATAAAATACACACACTTATAAATCAATTTAAAAAACATATAAAATTTGTATATAAAAACCCAATTAAATACAATTTGCTTAACTTTTAAAATAATCAAAAATAAATTGAACAAATCGAAATGATTTCTCCTTTTTCCCAGATTAATGCAAATTTGCAACAAAATCCCCTTTTTATTGCTGTGCAAAAAATATAAAATAAACAAAATGGCGTCTATATGTACATATTTGGGAAACTATAGAAACGTCAACAATAAACAACAATTCGATTAAAACTTTTGTGCACAAAAATGAGGTCAAATTAAAGAAAAACAATCGCTGGCGAAAGGGGGGAAGGGGACAAACCCGGAAAACTCCACACAGGACGACGACGCAGCATTAAAGTTTTTCCTATTTTTGAAATTAAAGCACGCAAAAAGGACATAAAGGAGGAAAGGAAGGGGGGAGGGCCATGAAAACCATGAAAAAAGTGTTTCAGCAGCATTTTTAAAGTAAATTCAGTAAAAGGCAAGGGATCAGATGTAATAAATATTAGAAGAGGTAGTACTGTAGTTACAGTAAAACCTTTAAGAAATTTTAAGTGAATTTTAAATTATAATTTAGAAAAATGTTTTTATTTCAGATAGAATTTTAATTAAAATTATTTTACATAATTTTTTAAATTTAAATACAAACATAAAACTTAATTCCAAAGAAAAGTTGCCAAAAAAATCTATTTTCTTATAATAAATTATGAAAAATTTTAATAATATCCCCCTGCTTATTAACAACAACAAAGTCCCAGTTAAACCTGCGACTTGTGACCACACTGCCCGGCATCAGTGTGACCAACTAAATAAGAATTAAAATTAAAAAATATATTTTTTAAACGGCAAAGCGCCAGGCGTCGCTGCAGCAGCGGCCCAAGTCAACGCAGGCAGCGCTGCAGCCAGTCTAAGCTATCTCGCTCGCACAGACACGCCCTCTCTCGCCTCTAAAAGCGAGCAACAGAGATGGCCATACGCCCAGGCCCAACTCTGGGTGTCTCTTTTCCTCCCACACGCACACACACATTAAACACTGGAGTTTTTCGAACTCGCTTTTCGAACTCGAGTCGTTCCCCTCTTTATGCTCTTGCTTTTGTTGCTTTGCGCACAACAGTTAGGAATAAACCGCCGTGGTAAGCACTTGTTGTTGTTATATTTGTTATTGTTGTTGTACTCACTTTATCATGTCCGGCAGTCGTTCCGGCACTTTTGGGTGGGTGTTCTTCTTCACGTAACTGGAGGACAGCGCCTCGGTGCAGGCCAGCATTAGCTCCGTGGACAACTCGACCGGATGTTGTGGTGATTTTTCTTCGGGTAACTGCAACAGATCAGAAAAAAATGGAGGAAAAAGGAGAGTGAGATAGGAAGCGGAAATCCAAGAAATATTAAAAAATGGTGTTCGCTCCGCGCACACAATTGTTGCGTGCTTTTTGGGGCAAGTGAAATTCCATGGCTCGTGTTTAAATTAATTATCAACTTAGGCATTTAAACAGCAACAACAGACACAGAGAGAGAGAGAGAGAGACATTCACATCAATCAAAATGTTAATTGATGTTTCTTTTCTCCCCTCACTTACATTTAACTTTCTCACTCTGTTGCGCCTTCTTCGTTTTCGTTTCTTCTTCAGCGCTTTGCCTCTCCTTTATTACACGACAAGCGGCGCTCGCGCTGATCCATCAACGGGATAGAGAGAAAAGAAGGTGAAAAGGGGGGTGGGAGAATAGGTAAGAGAGGTAAGAGAGGAGGGAAAGGTGAAAAGGAGGCGGGGATGGGGCAAAAACAATAAACACGAGCCAAGTTTACAATGCAAAATAACAACAACAAGAATGCCAAAGTACGATGCGCAGTAAAAATATTTTTATAGATTAAAATAAAACAAAAATAAAATGTATAAAAATAAGAAGTACATGATAAACTTGGTTTTAAAAATAAATGCGACTTATGGATACCTTTTTTTAATTTTTGGCGTGATTAATTAAAAAAAAAGAATTAAAAGTAATTTAACCTTTTAATTTCAATCTAAAAAACCTTTTTAGGTAAAGAATGTCCCTACATTTACTTTACTTTTACTTTAAAAACTCGCTTTAAAAATTTCCAATAATATTTAATATTTAAAGTAACCTGAATTCATAAATTTTCCATCATCATAATACCCCTTAACACTCCACAAGTACAATTAAAGAAAAAACACACACAGCATAAATAAAAAATAATAAAAAATGAACAGTAAGAAGAAACATTTATTGGGTGTGTGAGTGAGTGGCTTTTTATGCGATTTAACGATTGATTTAACAACAGCCGCAAAATATATAAACATTTTACTCGCTGACTGAATTGCCCAGGAAAGGGAAATTGGGGATGGGTCTTGGGGCTCCGACCTAGTGCTTAAAAATTGATAGGCGAGAGCGCACGAGGCCAGTAAATAAAATTCAAATAAAAATGCCAAACAAACAAAAGGCAGCCAGCGCCAAATAAAAGCGTCAAAGAAATGGCAAATAAACAATGCCCCAACGAGCAAAAACAAAAGTCGGAGCGCGAAACATAAACTTTAAATACGGGGACAAAAAATGGACAAAGGGAAAGCGAACTGAGAATGCTCTTACTAGACCAATTTAGGGATTTTTGTATATTGTAAAGAAAAGTATTGATATATGTATGTATATATCGAAAAAATGTATTAAAAAAAACAACTAAAATGTTGTTTAAATGTTTATATTTTGCTGATTATATTCTTCATCATTCTTCATCAAAGAGAATACCGATTTATCGCACATTGACTTTAGTTTCTATATATTTTTCCTGCTTTTCTAACTTAAAAAAGAAAACTTATACCTGCAAAAATTTTTTAAATATTATTAAATTTATAAACAAATAATATCCAAAATCCAGTAAAAATCCCCTTTCGCCAGGCCTTTAAAAAATCCTTACAACCCTCTGGACTTGACTGAATTTTCCTTAGGTTTGCAGACAGACAGAGACATAAACGCGGCCAAGTGTTAAGTGGCTGCCAGGGCAGGACTATAAGGCGAGCCAAGTACAAATTTATACTGTATATAGGCGACACATTCGACGTGGCCTGGGGAATATAGCCAGTTGCCAACTTTGGCGACTATGCCAACTCCCTTGTTTCAATCCTCCAAAAACCCCCTCCCGACGTCTGCCTGGCGACATTTTTATTGTGAAAACCGTTTTTGGCTGGCCGAAAAAGTTCTTCAAAAGTTCTTGAATATTTTTTCGTTGTTGTTGTTGAAAACTTACCTGAAAACTCTTGGTGATGGCATCGAACATAACGGTTATGGAATTGCCCAGCAGAGCATGACGAGCAATCTGAGGACACACAGAGCAGGCATTCCTATACACATGAACGGCCAGGTGAACGGATCTGTGGAAAATATTTCATTTTATGAGTTTAGATATCATAAATTTAAATTATTAAAATATTTAATTGAATTTTTAAATTTATTTAATGAGTTATTTTCCATAAATTTAAATTATTAATATATTTAATTAAATTTTTTATTACGTTTTTTTATGAGTTAGTTATAAAATTAAATTCTTAGAAAAAAACCTACTTCCTTGAGATATCGGTGTTCTCCTGTAGACCTTTGTTGATCACATGATTGGCCACTATGCCCAAGCCATCCATGCAGAGGAAGGCTTGGAAGTCAAAGGCCTGGGCCTTGGGTATCACACGCAGGAGGTTACCCAATGCCCTTTCCAATCCCTGAGCACCGCCACCTTTAACCACCAGATTTAGGAGCTTGGGCACCGTGCTATCACGTTTTACATAAGGGGGTAAGGGCTCCATGGCCTCCAGATACTCAGTGGCGCTGAAATATATTTGAAATAAATTATTAATGATATTTTCTACAATATATTTAAAATCTTTTCCAAAGAACAAAAACCTATATTTACAAATCGAATAAATTAATTATTTAAATAATGAAATATATTTAGTTTAAGCTGTCTAGCCGGCATAAAAAATGGTATACAATTTCAAAAAAAGACCTTTTGATATGTTAAATATCTGATTTCTTCTGAAAAATAAATATAAAAAAAACCCAAGACTATAAACTTTTTAACGATTTCCAACAGAAATTCAATACTTGCAAAATAACAAACAAATCAATTAAATATAAAACAATAATTAATTTAATTTCGGTCATTAAAAATACCCAAGTTTACTCACCACTGACTCATTCGCTGCTTCAGCTTCTTCATCTTCTTTTTGTAGCTCCTCGAATGCCCAGGGATTCCCCCCACATCCGAGAGCGTAGAAGAAAGATCGCAGTCTTCGTTTGTGGTGCTTGTCCCATTCCCATTTAAGCCATCTTCCGCATCGTTTTCATCCTGATCCCCTCGACCCTCGTCTGCCTGCCGGGTGGGCATGGTCAGCTCTAGAGCCCGCTGGCGTATATGCTCGATGTTCTCTTCGTGCCGGCGAGCAGATTCCAATTGCTTTTGGAGTATTTTGCGCTGCAGCTCCTCGGTGGTCTGCTGCTGTTGGACCTGCAGGGCCAGCAGTCGCTCCTCCCGATCCCTGGCCTTTTCCCGGGCCAAAGCCTGACGCTGCTTCTCCTTTTGCTCCTGCATCTTGCCTATTCTCTGCTCCTTTTCCAGTCTGGTTTCATTCATTTTCTCGAGCTTGAGGAGACGTTCTTTTTCCAGGGCTTGTCGACGTCTCTCTACCGCAGCCTCCTTGGCCAGCTTTTCCTCCACTCTCTTTTGACGCTCTTGTTCGAGATCCTGCAGTCTGCCTTCGGTTTCTTTAGAGGATTCCAGAAGATCCAGACGCTTATTTTGAGCTTCTATGTTCTTGATAAAGTTGATTTCCTTGAGTTTCTTCTCCTCGTCGTGGGCTTTTTCAATGATCTGCCGGAGGTACTGCTCTCGATTCTCCGCTGCCCTTTGCAGTCTTCCCTGCATCTTCTGGCGTTTGTCCTCGATGAGCTGCTTTTTGGCTGCCTTGACATCTTCGACGCGTGCAAAGAGTTGTTGCAGCTTGGCTGCTTTCTCCTGCTGGAGGAGATTCCTCTTTTGCTGAGCCCTGGCCTGCTTGGCTTGGTATTTCTTGAGGGTTTCCTGCAGCGAACGACGCCGCGAGGGCGAGGATAGCTTCTGATGGAGTTCCTGGGCTCTGCCTGGATGCCTGGCCACATAGGCCTGGAGTGTAGCCAAGGCCTCTGCTCTCTCGTTCCAGGACATGTCTGACAATAGAGCCTGATATCTATGCTCTAGGCTGGCATTCTCATCGTCGCTCATGGTCACAAACACCGCGGAATCATCACCACCTAAGCCCAGTTCCTGCTCCTCCAGCTGAACCTCACAATCGGTTTCATCCGTTTCGGTGTCCACATCGATTTCCGTTTGCTCTAGCTCACGGATTTGTCGTTCCAAAGATTCCTGAACCTCCACTAGGATGCGCTCGTTGCGCTCCTCTTCGTTGTCGTCGGCAATTTGCTCTTCATTCTCATCGCAGGCACTCAGCAGAGAGGAGGCACTGGGCTTGTTGTTGAGACTGCCATTTGGCAGCTTGCAGTGGGCAATGCTCTCGTAGAGCTCGCCTATGGTCTTGGAGAACTCACAGTTGGTCTGGATTTTGATGTCGATCTTGTTGTGGTCCTCGTTGCTGGCTGTGAGGGGGGACACGACAGTTTCTACAGAGGATGAGCTACTGTTGTTGCTCTGCTTGTGGTTCAGTTCCTTTTGCTGCAGTTTCCTCAAGGCATTCTTCTCGCTGCGCATGTACTCCTTGTGCAAGGATGTCATCTTTAGTCCTGTAAGATCTGACTTTTGTCTTTTGATGATGGAAGTGCGTCCCAAGGCATTATTGTTGCCATTGTTTCGAGCTGTAGTTGAAGGCATCACTGGCTTCTTTTCGGGTTTGTCCTGCTTCTCTGGTTTGTCTTGCTTCTTCACCTGACCCCCTGAGCTTCTCTGGGCTGGAAATGAGTTCACCTTGGCCTTGGCATTTTTGATTTCTGGCCTTGAAGAGTTTGCCAGTGTTGTGGCCTTGGCTTTGGGCTTAGCCTCTCCTGCAGCTGCTCCTGTTTTACTTGGAATGGTTTTCTGCTTCTCCTTGGTAAGTTCCTGCTCTTGCTCCTTCTCCTTCTCTTTCGCCTGCTCCCTCTGCTGCTCATTGAGCAGCGCCAAGGTGGGCAAACTGGCATATCCTGTCGGCTGATTGAACCTGTTGGCCCAATGCATGCTGCTCCTGCGACGATTCTTCACCGTCAACCAACCATCATTGTTATCCGTAGGCAGTTGTAATTGCTTTTTCGTCTCGGAATGTTGTGCTTCCTCCGTTTTAAGGGTGCTTCTTGAGCTCGATAGCTGCTCGTTGCTGGCTTTTAGAGTGGAAGTGGAACTGCCCATGTCCTCGCGCGAACTGAGCCTTGAGGAGGTGGCTTTGCGAATCCTGGCCGTGCTTAGAAACGAAGAGGTAGAGGTTCTCTTAGGCAGGGTTTTGCTGGCTCCACTCCCATTGATCTCCAGCATAGTGCGGGAGCGTGCCGACAGACGGGAGGCCACATTATTGGGCGGGCCATAGCACTCGGTTTTGCTGGAGGGTCTGGGAGGAGGAGCAGGTTTTCCTAGAGTTTTTCCAGCGGGCAGCTTTGTGGAGCGTCGTAAACCATTGACGGGCGGAGCTGCTGTCTTGAGCTGACCAGGCTTGGCTGTGGCTGCTGCTGCTCCTGCTCCTCCCACTGTTCCTGTTGTGGTCTTGAGAGCACCTGCTCCTGCTCCTGCTGCTCCGCCTGCACCCCCCTTCTTCACTGGACGATTTAGCACACTGGAGTACTTCAGGGGACTGTTTTGCATGGGCGCATTTCCTGAGATGGCCATCAGGGGCTGTGGCTTCTCCCCTGGTGGCTTTAGTAGTGTGCTAGGTGGCGTGGGTTCCTTGTGGGCCTGTTGCTGGAGCAAGGCATTCTCCATGTTCTCCAAGGAGGCCACTGTCATGTCCAAAGCTGTGGGTTCTGGTAGAGGTTCTCCCACCAAATTGGAGTCCCCCTCAGGCGGTATATTCTGTATGCTCTCACCTGGTTTGTCTGGTACTTCCCCTATATATTCTGCTGCTGGAATGATCACTGCCTGCTCTTGAATCCTCGCCTCTCTCTCCTCCGCCTCCCTGCGCATCTTTTCCCGCACATCCGCCAGCGTCAGGTGTGGATCCTCCAGATCCGTTTGCGAATACTGTGTGTTTAGCTGCACATATGTGGTCTTATCCCCGCTGAGATCCAGCGGGCACTCCATATTATCCGACTGTGAAGATCCTTGAGTGGCTCTCTTGCTGGCCGCAAACAATTCCCTGACATTGAGACGCATTGCTCCCTTTGGCACCTGATCGTAGGCTCGGAGTAGTTTCATCGGCGAGATCTGGCCTTGTTCGTAGGCCGAGGGCGAGGTCTTGCCCGACTGAGAGCCGTGGCCTAATATCAAGGCTGGACTGGATTTCCCGGAGTTATTGGGACTGCAGAGGCTCTTGGTACGCACTCGGGGCGTGGGGTTGCTCTTGCGCACCTCCCAGGCCAGGCTCTGTGGTCGCTGTTGCAGCGGCCGGGATTCGTAGTCCCAGGAAACCTTGAACCATTCGCTTAAGGCCTTGAAATCTCTTACATAGTTCTCTAGCACTAGGATGGCCTCCTGGCAGCTGGATATGTTCTCGTAGCACTCCACCGTCTGGTAGATCTCGTTCACAGCTCGCTGGAGATTGCCAAATAGCAAAGCCCAGTATCTGGCTTGAAGCTCGGACTTTTTGTCCCTGCCCGTGGAGGCGCTGCGCACGCGTGGTCCACTGGAGGATCCTCCGGCTGCGGCACTCGTTGAGGATTTCAGACGCGGCGAAGTGGTGGGTGACTGGCAGTTTTTGGGTGTGCCGCTGCCGGCACTGGGGGACTTGGGCGGAGCCATGGGGGGTTTGCGATAACCTGGGGGGTAGAGAGAGGTGTGAGTTATAGGGAATCGTAGAAGAAATAGTTAAAATAAACGACTATGGGTTATAAAGGACTTGCTTTGTTATTAGTTAAGGAGTTTAGGGTAAATTTTATGGGTTTTTAAAGGGTATAAATATCATTTCAAAGTAGGAATACATTTAAAAAAAAATTATGTAAATGTTTTAAGCAAATTATACGAATTAAAAGTCCTGTTTCAATAAAAATTTTGTGGTTTTATGGAGTTTAAGATCAACTTTATGGGTTTTTAAAAGGTATATCTATATTTTGAAAGTAGAAATAAATTATTTAAAAAATGTTCTAAATGTTTTATGGAAACTATACGAATTATAAGTCCTATTTCAATCAAAATTTAAAGGTTTTATGATCTCTATAAGGTACCTTGGGCTATATAATCTCAAAAATAGTGCCTAATTTAGTTATAAAGTAAGTTATAAATGTCTCTAAATCTTTAAAAATACGGGTTTAAGTTATAAAACAATTCAAAATTTATAAAAACAATAAAATAATAATACAAATTCCTACTAAAAACCCTTTCTTCAGCCCCAATAAACTCCTCATAACTCCTCAAATACCTAGGGTATTATTGTTTGCTTACAGTCACCATTCAAGAGTACGCCTCCGCTTCCAGCTCCAGCCAGAGTTCCGGCTGTTGCTGCTCCTCCTACTCCCTCGCCGCCACTCGTGCTCGTGGTTGTCTCATCGCAGAACTGGTAGACGAGCAGATTCTTGGCCTCTCGCCCCTCGCGACTCAGTACCTCTCGCATTTCCATCGTTTTGTTTGCTGTTGTTGTTGTTGCTGTTCCACTCGTTGTTGTTGTTGTTGTCTGGGTCTCGTCTGCTGCTGCGCTGCCGCTGCTGCTGCCACTGCCTCTGCCTCTCTGCCCACGCACAGCTGGTGCAGCTGTTCAGGCAGCTTTTGGTTTCGTCCTCGTTGGCCTTCTGGATACCACAGTGATCCTTTGCTGCTGTGGTCCTCGGGCGAAAACCGTGGCTCCCCTTACAATTTTAATTGATTATTTCGCGTTTGTCGTTGTCCTCCTCTAGTCGAGGCGCGTCGCTTCTTTGTTGTTTTTGTCGCCGTCGTCGCCACTGCACAATTTCGCAACGCCAGCGGCCTCGGCAGCATTTTACCCACGACGACAGTAGAAGCTTGGCTATATATGTAGGCCTTAGGTCCTTGGGTGTATTTCCAGGCTGCTCCTTGTGTCCGGGGGCTGATTGAAGAGACCGAAATTCCTTGAAACGGTGCCCTGTGAAATTCTGAATTCTGCCTAAAAATTTAGCAGCAGCACAAAGCCAGCTGATTCAAAAGCAGGGTTGTCTTGCAACGGGCATGGCAATCGATAGAGGGATTGTGAATAATCGATAACGGCGAGCGAGCGCGCACTTAAATACGGGGTATGTTTTATAGGTTTACAGCTTAAAAACAAGGTTTTTATATATAAATTCCAAAGTTTATTTTCAATTTAAACTGGAAATATTTATAAACGCCTGTAAAAGCTATTTAATTGTTGAAAATATTACAACAAGTAACGTAAAATTTGAAACCTGCCGCCCGATAGCAAAGCTCCCCTTTTCGAAAAGCTCCCCACGTGCAAGGGGGACAACTGGTGTCCCCCCAGAGCAGCACAGCTAATGGGGGGAGAACGCAACACTGAAACGAACGAAACTGCTTGAAATGCTGTTGGCCAACCTGCTCCCCTGTTACAATTCCGGTCTAAATCTAAATGATGCTGCTCACTACTGCTCTATTTTGCTCGCTTTTTCGGAATGGAAGCGCCAGCGCAGCCCTGAGATGGAAAATGGCCAGGAACCGGACTCGGTAGACCACACAATCCCATGGTATTTTTTAAACAAGAGTCGCAAAACACCTTTTTACTCGTTTCGTTTATTTCCCATTCTTTGGGGTGATTGAGGTGTGCTTTATATTTTAAGTGGGTTTTGGCGGCAAAAAATTAATTTTTCTCTTTTAATGTTCTTAAAGAACTGCTAACTATGTTTTGGTAACTTTAGAGAATATTTACAAAATATTTAATTTAAAAAATAACAGTTCTTTCAGCTGCTCCAACAGTTCTTCCGGAACCCTCCCAAAACAAAAATATATGTATATATTTATTAAAAAGCTTTAATTTATGCTTTACTCAAGCAGTTTTAATGGCAATTAAGCCACAATGTTGTCGGTTGTATGGCTTTTTTAGCAGACTATCTGGAAAGTACTACTTCAGAGAGAAAATAAATTGAATTTGTTTAATTTTGAATGCTAAAAGTGAAAGCTAAGTTCTTACTTTACTACACTTTAGTTTCCTTTTAAAGAACATTTTATTAAACAAAAACTAATTAAGATTATTAACAGCTAGTCCTCATAGCTTTTAACAAGAACTTTATTATTTTCTTTAAAGTAACATAAACATATTTAGTCTCTGTTTAATTTAATAACATCTTTAAATCAATAGTTTTATATGTAAATATTTTTGAATAAATCAAAGTTCGAAAACGCCATAACTAGGCCAAAAATACATTAATTTCAAATCGGAAAACAGTTATGTGCTAGATTTGATAAGGTTAATAAATCTGCATCCAAAATTTAAAATTTTAGAAAATCAAAATTTTTGGCCATTTTTGCAAATTTTAATGATGTCACCCCTTTAATTTTTTTGCAAAAATGGCTAAAAATTAAATTTCTTCCGGACATGGCTAGAAAGAAGCGCCTGTTAATGCTGATCAAGAATATATATGGTTTATAGGGTCGGAAATGACTGTTTCACAAAATAAAATAAAAAATACCCTTAAAAAAGATCTATGGAATTTGGCTTAGATTTGTATACAAATATAACTGAAATTCCTATAGAAGCTTTGCATATGATAAAGTCGTTTATCTAGCATAGCTTTTAAACTAAGATTATTCTAAATAATGTCTTAATCAATGATTATTTTTCGTTGTGTATAATTGTTTGTATTTACTATATACTCCCCCTACATAAGTCCGTTTTACGTGTACCTCCACGAGTGCCGTCCTCTTTATATATTTATGTATACATGTATATAAAGCTCTTATCAATCCCAACCGAAGCCGGATGCCTCTTCGAAAGTCTTTGAATATTTCGGAAATCAGTTCTTGAGAGACTTTCATCCATCGTGGTCTAACAATCTCCTAGTAAAAGGATGCACAAGTTCGGAATCTTCTTCTTTTGGGCACTAGCTGACTGTATCCTGCGGCAAGGATCATTCGCGAAGGATCAGTCGGGGTACATTTGCCTGATTGAGAATCCAAAACAAAATCAGTGCGACAGCATTTGTCTTACTGAACTGAGCCCACGGCTTAGCGAAGTCGTCAAGGCCCAGAACCAAGGGAACACGAAGCTGGAGACATTGGAGGTGAAAATAGCAGAGGTGCAGTCTAAACTTGAAGGAAAGCTACAAGGAGTAGAAGCTAAGCTGGAAAGACAACTTCAGGTGCAAACCAAACTGGAGGGCCAACAAACCAAGATGGAGGCTATACTAGAAGACAGTCTGCTTGCGGTAAAGACCAAGCTGGAAGGACAATTACAAGGAGTGGAAAATAAGCTGGAAGGACATCTTCTGGAGATGCAAACCAAGGTGGAGGCTAAACTGGAAACAAGCCTGCATGAGGTAAAAACCAAGCTGGAAGGACACCTACAAGGAGTGGAAGCTAAGCTGGAAGGACAACTTCAGGAGGTGCGAACCAAACTGGAGGCTAAACTGGATAAAAGTGTCCAAGCGGTACAAAAAATTATTGAAAACCAACTTCAGCTTGTTGTAAATCAACTGCAGGCAGTGCCAAACAAGATAGATGCAGCCAAGGTGGAAACTCAAGTACATCCCATATCGAATAAGACGGCAGTCTCCCAACAAGCAGCCAAGGCAGCAGTCCCTGCTTCAGCCACGACTACGATGCCATCTGGATTCGAGCTAATCGGTACCAGATATTTTAGAATTGTAAATGAAAGAGTTGAATGGCGGACTGCTATGGCAAGGTGTCGTGAGATGGGAGGTTACTTAGCCGCCTTTCGAAATGAAGAAGAAATTAACGCCATTACACCAAAACTTGACTGGAATGGGCGTTATTGGCTAGGCATTAATGATCTAGACAAGCCCGCACAATTTTTAAAGTTTTGGCGAAAATCAGACGACGAAAATCATGAGCAGAACTGCGTCGTTTTGCATAATGGTAAAATGTATGACGCGTATTGTACTCATATTTCGCCTTTTATTTGCCAGGCGGACAATGAAACTTAGTAACATTCGTAATTATATTTTAAATAAAGTTATATTTTAAAATAATAATACTACTTTTTGTTGTTAATTAAACATTGTATGGTATTAATTTTGCTACTTAGGTACACCTTCTTGGGAAATATATATAAACGAGCACGCAGAGAGTGCAGTCATCGCTATAAATATGTAAGCTGTTATCAATCCAAACTTAGATCGGATGCTTCTTCGGAAACCATCGCCTGATTTCGGGAATCCGTTGATAAGAGACTTTCACCTTGACTCTTGAACCCTGATTAAACAGAGCTTTTAGCTACAAGCTGTACTTTTGTTCAGTGCCGATTGCTGAACTAATTCATAAATAATTTGCAATTTATTTTTTTTTTGATAATAAACCTATTGTTTTTAATAAAAATATTTTAGTAAAATAATATTAAAGTTTAAGTAGCAAAGGGACAAAGCTTATAACCAGATATATATGGTTTATAGGGTCGGAAATGACTGCTTCACTAAATAAAATAAAAATAACCTTTAAGAAGGCCCGAAAATATTTTAGTTTTTTTTATGAATATTTTTTTCATATGAATTTTTTGTATGAATTTAGAGTTTGACTTGGCTTTTTATAAAAGGATATACAACGACTCTTCCACTGGCTTCCGATTAAAAATTTGAATACCCAGCAGGGAGGGTATAATAAATATTTATAAATTCGTATAAAATAAAAAAAAAATTAATAAAACAATAAATTTACAATTTAACAATTCTTATATTTTCCTTTCCCCTTTCAAATCTTTGAACTCTGGCTCCTAAGACTGCTCTGGCACACCTTTTAAATTAGACAATACACTCACATTTTAACGAATACTAATTTTCGATCAAAACGAAATCGAAATTTTTGGGAATTTTAATGATGTAACCCCTTTAATTTTTTTGCAAAAATGGCTCAAAATTAAATTTCTTCCGGACATGGTTAGAAAGAAGCGCCTGTTAATACTGATCAAGAATATATATGGTTTATAGGGTCGGAAATGACTGCTTCACTAAATAAAATAAAAATAACCGTCAAGAAGACCCGAAAATGTTTGAATTTTTTATTGAATATTTTTTTCATTTATTATGAAATTCTAGTTCTGCTTCCAGCAGGGTATAATAATTATTAAAAAATTAGTATAAAATAAAAAACATTTAATAAAACAATAAATTTACAAATTAACAATTCTTATATCTTCCTTCCTTCCCCCTTTCACTCTGGTTCCTGCGGCGATCTCTAGTTAAGCTGCTCTGGCACACCGCTTAAACTAGACAATACACTCAAATTTTAACGAATACTAATTTTCGATCAAAACGAAATCGAAATTTTTGGTGAATAGTCGCTTGAGCGACGCAATTCCGATTCATGGACTCTAACGAACAGGCGGCGAGGAATAAAAGCAGGTTGAGTTGAGTTTGATTCACGTTCGCTTTCACTCGACAGCGGATTCTCCGATTATTGTGTGACTATGACACTGTATTTTCAATTTAAATATTGGAGATTTTATTATAATCTAGAAAGAGATCAATTTTAGGTGTAGTTTTCTTAGAAATTATTTGGTTATGACACCAAGGACACAATGATTTAAAGGGTTATATTTAAATAATTAAAATCCAGGAACTTCTTCAGTACTTTATATAAAATTTGTTAATGGATATTTAACCAGATAATTTAGTTTATATTTTTTTATTTCATAAAATTAATATTTAATAGATTCTATTCTATAATCTCAGCGCAAAATACAGTGTCATAACCGTATGAGTGTGAATGTCTCATGCCTGGGACTGAGTGTGTATGCGGGCGATTGTTTGTTTGCTGAGTGTGTGTAGCTGTTTGTTTGTTTATAAAGCTCTTTTCGCCCATGGAGTCGCTTTTGGAGACCCCCCAGTGAGCGGGGGAACTTTTGAGCGTTGATTGGGGGGAAATTACGATTTGAATTGAGTGGCGGAAAGAGTTAAAACTCTCGGATATAGGGGGATGCATGAATTATAGGAAAATTATAGGAAACTCTATGAAAAATTACAATTAATAATAATAATTGAACATTTTATAATAGTTTTTAAATATAAAACAGTATGGGTTTAGGTTTTATTAGATTTTGTGATATTTTAAGAAAACTTTTAGGAATATAAGAAATGTTGTGCCATTTAACAACAACTAATTTTGATTTATAAAACAAATTAACACCCAATTCTACCCTAAGAATCTTAATTTAACCTGCAGATGTACTTAAAAAGGCTTAAAAATTCAGCGTAAATTTTATGAAAATTTTAAATTTACTGCCTCAATACAGTTGTTGGAACCTCTTAAAAATGACTCCATTTAATCGCTCTCATACGTCACATCTGCAATGCCTGGAAGCATGAAAAAATCCTTGAACATATTGATGGACCAGGAGTGCAGCAGTAGCCGGAGCTGGAGCATATGGTCTTGCATATCCAAAGAAGTGTGGCACACATAACTGGAATAGCTGGGCAGCCAAGTCAATGGCACATTATCGGACGATACCGGGACGGGAAACTCAACCTGAAGTCAGGTTGGATGCGGAGACGGGTTGGGAAGAAGTTGAGACACGACATTCGTGGAGCAACCGACGACCGACACCGACCATTAGAAGAAGCCTTGTCTCCCCCCCAAGGCCACGGGGAGGGGTCAGAAGAGGAGCAGCAGGAAGAAGAGGAGCAGCAGCAGGCAGAGGAAGTGGCTCCAGTTGTCTGGAGAGCAATTGCTTAGACATTCCTTGGAGCTCCCCAAGGCCGCTTTTGGTGATGCACAGTGGGAAAGGGGATTTTACTTTATAAAAACCTTAAATTTCTGGGGAAGTCTTAATTTATTTTTGGCTTTTTTATTTTAAATTAGGCTGATACAATTTTTAAACTTTAAATTCTTAACATTCAATCGCGGTAGGCCTTTATTTTCTGAACTTTTAATAGTTTTTTAAAATTCCAAAGCCTTATATTCATGAAACTAAAATATTTCTAAATTTTAAATATTCTTTTAGCTTCTCCCAACCATGCCAATCGTTCCGGTACAAAAATTCAACTCGCTGAGAACCAATCCTCTTCAGGGATTTGAGTATCTATTGGTTCCCTTGCATTATAGTTTGGATGTGACCACAACCATGATTGCAGCGATTGGTAATCTCTTCTACCGCTTGGTCTCTCCACTCTTTATAAGACCCCTTCAAACATAAGGTAAATTAATTTAAACTTATTAAACCTCGAGTAAAAATTATTATTTTTTAGGCAACTTAAATAACTCTTTATTTTTTCCTAGACTTTGTTGAAAATAAAACCACCGTCCATCGAGGAAGCCTTAGTAAGTAGAGGTTAAAGAAGCCAGACCTGGACACCAAAAGGAATTCGATGCCGGGAACGACGGACACGACATCCAGCGAGGCAGCAGATGAAGAAGATGTTAACCCGAGCGGGTTAGACAAGGGACCATGACCAGGACCAGTCTGGGAGCTATGGCTTAAGCATGGGAATCGAAGGACGGTAAGGGGGCAGCATCAAGCAGCAGCAGCATAAACAAAACGACCATCAGAGCTGGAGGAACGGAAGAACAAAGCACTGGAAAAAAATAAAAAGGCTTGTATTTATTTGCTTTATTTTAATAAACTAAATTGTAAGTTGTATTTAATATTTAAAATGAAATCTTAAACGTTTTTGGAGCTTCCTTTTTTTAAGGAATTTTTAAGTATTCGTAGCGATAATTCCCAATTTAAATTCCCAATTTAAACTTTCCTAAATACCTTGGAAAGTTCCAAAAAATATTCCCTGGAAAATAGGGACTTGTGTATCTTTTCCAGTGCATCGACCCTGGGAGCAGATTCGATGCAACAATATAAAAATAAGAAGATATAAAAAAAAAAGGAACGACGATATGTATGTGTTTGTGTGTGAGCGATTCTCCCGGCTGTCTCTTGCCTGAAATTCTCCGCAGCCTCTTCCTCTTCTTCTTCTTCGCGGCTGGTTGTGTGGGAAAATTCAGGCCGTGGGAATTACATGTGAAATTTCGATGGTGTCCGGGATCAGGCGAGCAGCATTTCCAGGCAGGCCTTCCAGAAGCAGCAGCAGCAAAAGCAGCCATCCAACCCACCCCTTCCATTGCCATGTCATTCCAAGCCGAGCGACAATTCTAAGCAAGAGCGAGAGGGCAGCACACACAGTGTTGTGTTGCATCCGGGAGCGAAGGGCAAAAGGGCCTTGGATACAGACCTTGAGTGGGAGTGGGACGACTGCTTTGTGCCTTTTGGCCCTTTTTATGTTGCTCCCCCGTGTATGTTTGTGCAACATTTTGCGGCCTCTGCACAGATTTTAACGGAACAATTCCAATCAGGCGAACAGAAAGCTAAAAATAACGATACATACTGCAGCATGTTGCATGTGGCAGCGAGTTGGAGCCAGAGGAGCAGTGGAGCATTGGAGCATTGGAGCAGTGTTGCCTTCTCCCTCCAAAACAGCGATTATCTCCAACGGCGCGCGGAGGGACTCCGATTTTTCAGCTAACAAAGGGCGCCAAGGGCCCCGAGGCCATTATTAGGGTAGAAGGTTTCGTTTCGATTAGAAATTGCAGCAGGCACCCAGCAAAGTGCAGCAGGTAAATACCATAAACATTGGGCCAACATTGAGGTTTCCGTTCTCCCATTCCCGATTCCCCATTCCCGTCATGACCATTCCCCATTCCTTGGGCCCATCATTCCCATTCCCATTCCACGAGCCCTCAATGGCGGAAAAAATTAGCTTATCAACAATGAGGCAGGAAATACCCTAACTTTTAATTTGAAATCTTTGTGGGGAGTCATTAACTAGGGTATGATATTTATATTTTTATAAATTATATAATTAAATAATAATAAAATTTATATAATAAATGCAAACTGAATGCATAAAGCAGCAAGCTTTAACTTGCAGGAAAGAGTATAACGAGCATTATGTTGCCCTTTCTGCTGAGCCAGGAAAAAAAGCGGCGGCAACAAGAGAACTTCTTTATTTTTAGCCATCAGCCAGCCGTTGGGACAAGAAAAGAGGAGGAGGAGTATGGGGGAAGGGGAGCCTTCTTGCAAACAAGAATAAAAATGGCAAAAAAAAAAGAAGAGGAAGGGTAAAAGAAGACTGGCCACAGGCAAAGGAGGAGTAAGGGTAATTGCTGTCTTTTAAAGGGAAATAAACATAACAAGTAAGGCTTACTTTTAAGCCCAAACAGATAAAACTTAAAAATAAATTATTTTAAAACTAAATTCTCTCTGAGAAATAAATTCCTTTAAAAGGCAGCTATTTTAATGAGAGATTTTTTAGTTTTTTGACAGCTCGAAAACTAAATTTTAAACCTTTTCTAAGAATATAATTTTTATAACAGTTATTATTAATTTTAAATTAATATTAAATTTATATTTCTAACAAATACAAAATTGAAACTACTTTTCAAATTCAAAACCCCGCGCTGCTTTGCCACAATCGATAACTCGATAATAAATCCCATTCTGGCGATTGGCCATCTTCTATCGTTCTTCTTCTTGCTCGCCCCCCAGCTGGCTCCCACTTCCTCGCTCTCTCGTTTATTTTTCCTTCTTTCGGTTTTGTTGTTGTTTGGTTTTGGTTTTTCCCGTTTTTATTAAATGATTTGTTAATGAAAATATGGATCAGCTTTACCTGGAGATTGAAATCAGCACACAGAACGCGGTTACAACCATTTACACGAGCGTGTCTTCGTTTCTGGCCTTGTATACACACCGCTACATCAGCCCCAAAAATGTGCAGGTTAATTTTGTTAATTCGAAAATCGAGGGCGGTCGAATAGCTTTACGCAGCTCCCAGCTGAGAAAGGAGCTAACGGAGCAGCACATAACCTGCCGGGAGGCAGCCACTCTCCCAGCGATTAGGGATCTAAAGTTGCCCATCTACGAGAAGGATGGAAATACCTACATAGCGGGTACCTGTGCCGTTTGCAGGTGAGTTTAACCAAGAATTTAGATGAATATCAATGAAATCTTAACCTTTACCCACTCCACAGAGAGCTTATAGCCCGGCAACCCAATGAGGAACTCAAGAAACTCCTGGGCTTCAAGGGCAGCTGCCTTTTGGCGCCCTCCGAGGCCTCCATTTGGACTAGATTCTGTGAGCTGGATGTGGTGGAGGTGGTCAGTGGCTTGCACAATGGTGAGATCTTGGAGTCGGTGCCACCCGAGGTTGTGAGATTCGAACAGCACATGAACGAACCTGTGCGGATGCACAACATCTACAAGCAGGCCAGGGAGCAGGCCAATCAAACGGAGAATGGCGACAAAGTCAAGAAGCGAGATCGCGTGGAGATCAAGTGTACCACGCCCAAGGAGCAGCTGCTCATAGAGCATCGATTTGCCGAAGGCATTAGCTTCACCATAGCCGATCTCATCCTGTATCCCCTGCTGAAGATTGTCTTCCAGCATTGCGGCCAGATGCTGCCGCATTTTCCACTCACCAGCACCTGGTTTAGCGAGGTGAGTCTTGGGATTATCCCACCAGAAGAAACACTTATGAATTGTCTTGCCTTTCAGATTGATTCCTTTGATGATAGCTGCGCCAGGATCCTGGATGAGCTCTATGTGCCTCATATAGTAAAGACGCCGCCTGGGGACCTGGGGATACCCGACTGCGAGGCCACCAGTCTGTACAAAGCGGACCCCAAGCGCTACAAGCCCAGGAATCGCATCTACACCAGTCAGTCGGAGGTGGAGGCGGCTCTGGGAAAGCTCTCCCCTTTACAGCTACACTTCAGCTCGGATTCCGAGGAGAACTATGGCCAGCAGATCATCGACTGGGAGCAGATAGAGCCCACTCATGCCAAGAGCTCTGCCCTGCCAAAGGAGCGACTGGAACGCAAGCGCCAGCAGCTGGAGAATATGGCCAATGCGGTTGTCTCCTTAGCTCAATCCGGTGACCGGATTGTGGACTTTTGCAGCGGCACTGGCCACCTGGCCATTTTGCTGGCCCTCAAGCTGCCCCAGTGCACGGTGATTGTGATGGAGAACAAGGCGTTCTCGCTCAGTCAGGCCCAGAAGCGAGCCCTGGAGCTGGGTCTGAGCAACTGCGTCTTCTACCAATGCAATATAGACTACTTTGTGGGTGACTTTGACATTGGAGCCTCGCTGCATGCCTGCGGCACGGCCACCGACATTGTCCTGCAGCAGTGTCGTCGCGTTAAGGCGCACTTTGCCTGCTGTCCCTGCTGTTATGGCTCCCTGCAGCCCATGCCGCACATCTCTTACCCTCTGAGCAAGGCTTTTCGTGGGGTTTTGGACTCGAAGGACTACCTGTACATTGCCCATGCGGCGGATCAGGCCCATGAGATGGGCACCACCAACTGCAAGCCGGAGACCACGTTGCAGGGCTTGCGCTGCATGTCCGTGGTGGACACGGATCGCCAGCTGCAGGCTGAGGAGGCGGGCTACCAGGTGATATTCACGCGCCTGAAGCCGGAGCAGTGCACGCCAAAGAATCATCTGCTAGTCGGACGTTTTGTCAAAACAGAACTGAACTGAAAACTGCCACAAAAATGGGGAAATAAATGAACTTTTTTTGTACTTTTTTGAAAGAGATGAAGCTTCTAGATAACGGGATAAAGGGTGCTCCTTAAAATACAAAGAAGAACATGATTACAGGATTCATCTTTTACAAACACCGTTAGGCTGCTTTTTGTTTTATTGTGTGGAGTTTCCAGAGCAGAATATAAAATAATATTTTACCAAATTCACTAAGTTAGAGCGGCGCTTAGATTAAAATATCAGGATGGAATGGCCGCCGCCTCGCAGAGCCAAAACCAAGTGGAGGACAGAGCCGCCCTGCACCTTGTAATCCGCCGCAGTCTTGTCATCGTTCCTGCAGAGATTATAACCACATTAAAGATCGGGAATAACCCCTAATTTAAGGCTGAAAACTCACATTTGCTTGCCGGAGAAAATCAGACGCTGTTGCTGCGGCGGAATGCCCTCCTTCTCCTCCACGCGCTCCTTGATGCGATCCACCTTGTCCGTGGGCTCGATATCGATCTCGATCTCCTTGCCAGTCAGGGTCTGCAGGGAATAGAGGTAAATAAATGTAGATATATGCAAATTATATATAATTCATGGAAAATATGTAAAATCCAGGAAGTAATCTCCACTCTAATTTGTTGTTGTTCGCCGTGACGCATTGCCTCCCGGAGGCTGCGGTCTTTGTTTGCTTGGCCAGATTCTTGGCTATCGCTCACCTTCACTTTGATCAGCATGGCGCGAGTGTGTGTGTGTTGATTATTGCAATAAATTAAATACAATTATTTATAATAATCGAAATTTGCGAAAATTCCACAGCTTTCGGCTTTTTTCAGTGTGGCCAGCTGAAAATTTGGCTTTCTATCTAAAAAATCTCAAAAAACACTGAACATTTTCAGCGCTGCCAGACTTTTTAATAGATTCATCGATAAAATGGAAGTAATACATGTTTTTTCCAACACTGTAATCGGTAATCGGCGGTAATTTTAAACTAATTTTGATTTGAATGAGTTTAGAAATTATCTAATAGGAAAAATAGTGAATAAAAAAGATTATAATTTATAAGAAAGTCTAAATTAAAATACACTTTATTTTTTATTATTATTTTTATATATTTTGTAACTAAATTTACCTTCAACAAGTCCCTTAATCAAACCAAAAACTCACATTTTCTTTGTCTTTTCTTTATTTAAAGTACAACTAAAACCTTAAAAACTATTTACATTTATTTACAAGACTAATTTGGAAATGCATTTTGTTCTCTTTCGCAGATTTACTGAGATCGCCAGCTGATCTCGCCCCCTAAGACAGCTTGTTCACCTTGTTCCAGTTGCGGATGGCCTCGCCAATGTGCCGGATATCTCTCGCATAGGTTCTACAGCATCCTCCAATGACCTTGGCTCCCAGCCCCGCCCACTCTGGGACATAGTTGGCCAAAGGAACACAGTGCTCCCTTCCCTGCCAGCCGTTGACCACGTCGTAGACCTCTCCGCTGTTGGGATAAACCACCAGAGGAATCTGCTCATCCGCTCCGCGCTCTCCATTGAGGCTTTTGAACAAGGGAGTCACGAATTTCGGGTGGACACAGTTTACTCCAATGGCCAGGCACTTGTCCTGGGCATTTCTCTCCGCCAGCAGATCCCAAATGGCATTGGCTGCCTCCGCAAAGGTTTCGCCATGAGCCAAGGTGCTCTCATCCTTGCACTGGAAGGCAACCCAGAACTTGACATCGGGATAATCATCGCAGAGCATCTCCACCAAGGCCTCGGCCTCCATTAGGCAGGGAATGGTTTCAATGGCCAGAGCATCCACTCCAGCCTCCAGGCAAGCCTCAATACGCACGCGATGCCAGTCGGTGATCTCCTTGGCGGGCACATAGTCAGCATAGCTGCCGGTATACTCGGAGCCATCGTGCAGATGGGCGCCATAGGGTCCAATGGAGGCGATAATCAGGGGATAACCTGTGGGTAAATAATTAATATATTTATTATCAATTTAAGGTTATAACAAATAATCCCCAACACTTGCTGAAGGATTGAATGAAGAGGATCCTCCCATTAGGAGAAGGTCCCTATACCCACCCTCCGGCACCGCCAGCTGTGCCTGATAACACTCCGTCAGATAACGCTCCTTGGCTATATGAGCCAGCCGGACCGTGTTCCTTATCAGCTCGATGCTCTGCTCCTCATCCAGTTCCAGATACTCCATGTAACCCTCGACACTGGACTGATAGGTGTTTGTCAGTATGATGTCGGCTCCATCTGGGGGAACCTTTAGTTAGTTTGTTGCTAATTGCTTTTATTTCGGCACTCCACTTACTCTGCAGGAAATCCAGGTGAGTGCTGATGATGGCTGCCGGATCGGTGGCATTGAAACGGGCACTCCACAGCGGATCCCCATCCACGGAGTTGCCCACATGGACGGTCATTTGGGTGCCAAAGCCACCGTCCTTAACCAGCACGCGCGTCAGTCCCATGATTACAAGGTTGATTACTGCAAGAGGGGCGGAATATTAATTACTATATATGTATTTCCTAGTTACATCTGCGTCAGTGGCTGATAGATAATTAATGTTTATTTATGCCGGACAGGCCTTTGTTAGACATCTGGCAGATCTGCAACAATGTTGCCTTGAGTACTCTATAATCTATATAGCTGTGGAGTTGTTTACTAATTGGTTCATCTAAACTTATCGCTTATTTTCTAGTTCAACGAACTTTAGGGTAGAGCAAGTCAAGTGCGATTGCTACTAGCAACGTGGGGTTTTATCTGTAAAAGTTAGTACAGGGAAAATAACAAGAATTTCTTTAAGTGAAGATTGTAAATTAAACTTTAAAATGTCTTAAATATGATCAAAACATATGAAAAATAACCATTAAAATTTTTTATTGTTTTTGGTTCTTTTTAAATGTTATTTTTATTTTATTTAGTGAAGCAGTCATTTCCGACCCTATAAACCATATATATTCTTGATCAGCATTAACAGGCGCTTCTTTCTAGCCATGTCCGGAAGAAATTTAATTTTGAGCCATTTTTGCAAAAAAATGTAAGGGGTTACATCATGATTTTTTTCAAAATTTGACCAAAAATTTGATTTTTTTTAATTTCAAATTTTGTATGCAGATTTTTTAATCTTTGAAAATATAGCACAGAACTGTTTTCCGAATTGAAATTAATGAATTTTTGACTAAGTTATGATATTTTTAAGCTTTAGATTTAACAAAAATTACCATATAAAATGTAATATTTTATAATTAAGTTCGAAATAATTTTCACTCAAAACTGTGGATTCTGTGGCCCATCTGATAAGACACCTTTTATTGTATCATTAATATTGACCTATATTTTATAAAAATAAATATTTCTCTTATAAAACACATAGATTGTTCACCATTTTAAAGAGCTTTACAACTCGGTAGGTATATTATTTATTTTCTAACACCTCCTGCATATAGATAACTGCCTCTCAGAGCGTATAAAATAGCATCTGGTCAGACACGAGTAATAATCACACACTTTTTTATGTTATATGTCCCGGCACTCACCTTGGCAGCTTTATTTATAGATCTTGTAAATCGCTAAATTCAATAACAACTTTATTATCAATGTTGTTGTTTTCCCTGCCAGAGAACGCACACTTTGTGGATATGATCTGTCGTCTGTGTCGCCGTCGAGCGTTTAAGTGTTTTACAGCGGCGACGAGGGGCTTTTATACCTTCTCGCCCAGCGCTCAGCTGTGGCTTATCGCCGCGAAAAAAATTAATAAATAAAATTTATAACAAAACAAAAACACAGGCTAGCTTCGGTGCGCCGAAGTTTATATACCCTTGTAATATTTACTATTGTGCTAAAAATAAATGAAATAAAATTTAAAAAAATTGTTTTAATGGGTTGGGATGGTAGGACGCGAGATATTGCAAATTGCAATACCCAATATTGCAATATAGTTGGATGGCCATCTCTAATGCAATTCTCTCCCAATATTGCAATATAGCTAGATGAGCATCTCTGTGGATTAGTGAGATGCCTTTTTATCCCAATAGTGCATCATAGCTAAATGAGCATCACTGGTCGTTAGTGAGATGCCTTTTTCCCCCAATAGTGCATCATAGCTAAATAAGCATCACTGGTCGTTAGTGAGATGCCTTTTTCCCCCAATAGTGCATCATAGCTAAATGAGCATCACTGGCGTTAAGTGAGATGCCCTTTTGTGCCAATAATGGATCATAGCTAAATGAGCATCACTGGCAGTTAGTGAGATGCCTTTTTCCCCCAATAGTGCATCATAGCTAAATGAGCATCACTGGTCGTTAGTGAGATGCCTTTTTGTTCCAATAGTACATCATAGCTAAATGAGCATCACTGGTCGTTAGTGAGATGCCTTTTTCCCCCAATAGTGCATCATAGCTAAATGAGCATCACTGGTCGTTAGTGAGATGCCTTTTTGTCCCAATAGTGCATCATAGCTAAATGAGCATCACTGGCGTTAAGTGAGATGCCCTTTTGTGCCAATAATGGATCATAGCTAAATGAGCATCACTGGTCGTTAGTGAGATGCCTTTTTGTCCCAATAGTGCATCATAGCTAAATGAGCATCACTGTCTGTTAGTGAGATGTTTTTTCCCCCAATAGTGCATCATAGCTAGATGAGCATCACTGGCAGTTAGTGAGATGCCTTTTTCCCCCAATAGTGCATCATAGCTAGATGAGCATCACTGGCCGTTAGTGAGGTGCTATTTTGTCCCAATAATGCATCATAGCTAAATGAGCATCACTGACATTTAGCGAGATTTCATTGCCTCCCAGTATTGCAATATAGCTAGATGAGCATCACTGGTGTAAGTGAGCATCACTGATGCCTGTCATCGATCGGCCAACAATTTGTCCATGTCACCTAATTGCAACAACAACCCCTTTACAACAACATCTCCCCAGCAACCCATCCAATTTTACGAAAATTTCCATGCAAATTACCCGTTTCCCAAATCAGGGTAACAGGAGAACATAAACCAGCAGCAAGCAACTGAAAACTGGTATAAACTGTTATAAAAACTTTGGGCCAGAAATAATAATTGGTATAAACTTTTATATTTATTTTTATGCATTTATACATATTTCCTGCCAACAGCAGCGACTTGATGGCAACAACAACCCTTTAACAACAACATCCCTACAGCAGCCCATCAAAATTTCCTAAAATTTCCATGCAAATTACCCGTTTCCCAAATCAGGGTAACAGGAGAACAGAAAGCAGCAGCAAGCAACTGGAAACTGGTATAAACTGTTATAAAAACTTTGGGCCACGCAAATCGTGCCAGTGTGACCATATTGTTAATTTTGTCTGCTAAACGCGCCTGGGCACACTGAAAAATGAACGTTAAATTCAAATTTAAGTTTGGACGTTAATTTTCAAATTTGACGGTTGAGTTTCCCACTTTGATTTACCGATTAAATGAAAATGCATTTTGGTAAATTTATTTATTATTATTATTTATTTTACAACAAAATAGTTCTTTAAAATATTTAAAAATTAAGAAAACAAAATACAAAATCATCCTTAACATATATTTAAATGTATATTTTATAATAAGCTCTCCCAATCCTCTGCTTAGCTGCCAGTTTCCACTGGAAAATGCTTTCCTCTATTTCCGTGTGTCTCCCATTCTGCGTTGCAAACTTCTGCCTAAAGTTATAATATCCTGGAAGAGTATAACAAAGCAGAAAACGGCAAAAGGCAAACGCAAACATGAAAGTGCCCCCACCCAGTGATATTTCCATGGGGCGATAAGGGCCGCCGGGTGCACAGCTGCCAGACGGTGGCCAGCCAGCCAGATTGGACTCGTCCGCTGCGTCCGTTCTGTCCGTCCGGGTGTTGACAGCGACTCCTCGCCACTCACAAGGCTGATGAAATCGTCACAGTGCGTTCGGATTTGGGTTCATGTTTGGGGTTTCTAGCTATGCACTTAGGGAAATTTGGTTAAATAATTAGTTCTTAATTTTAATTTTTTTAATTTTGATTTTAAATTATATGCATTTTAGATATTTTGAATTTTTAAATAATAAAATTAACTTTTAAAAGATTTAGTTATTTATTTTTATTTATAATTAATCTTTTATTTTATTCCTGAAATTTTTTCTGTGTAAAACTCAGCCTCAGCATAGAAACCATGGCTGAATCTGCGCGTCGATAACCTCTGGGAATCCGATTCCGAGTCCAAACTGGACCAGTCCGAGGGGTACTTGCTTGGTTTGTTGACTCTGAGACTGTGCCATGGCTATGCCCCTTGGACACGAGCAGCTAGACATATTTGGCGGAAAGGTTCCAGCATAACAAGGAGATAATGGTCAGTGCCTGTGATTTGAATATGTTTTTCTTAAAAACTCACCTTTGTTTATATATATATTTTTTAGTTTTTGTGTGCTGTGTATAAACAACATGTTTTTCAATATATATATATTTTATTTATTTATTTTTAGAGTATCAAAAAGGTAAACATTTAAAAGTGTTTCACATTTAAAAGGTTTTGTTTGCTTTTTGAAATAGATTTAACAGCTTGTTAAAGTTTTTATTGTAGTAAAAAATGTGTTGTTTTCACCTTTATTATTTAGTACATTTTATAATATTTAAATGTTAATTATTTAGTTATGTTTTTTCTATAAAGTAGCAAAGTTGTTTTTTTTTTTTTTGGGATTTTATAAAGTTTATAAAGTAATTATAAAGGCAAAATCAAAAAGGGATTTTTTTTCCATAACAATTATAACTATAATTGTAATTTATAATCTAAAAACTAATTTTTAACACTTAAATTAAATGTATAAATTTGTTTCAGTGATATGTTGAACCTTTTCTGTTAGCTACTTAAGTAATAGTGTTTATTTTTATGAAATATTAAATTGGCAATAACTCAAATTTTGACTTTAAATTATTATATATATTTTTTAAGAAATTCATTCTTGTAAATTTATCAATACCAACACTTGTAATAGTATTTATTTTATGAAATAAATGAATTTTAAGATTTATTAAATTGGCAATAACTCAAATCTCGACTTGAAATTTAACAAATAATTATTTTAACAAATACTTTCTTTTAAATTTATAAATTCCAACACTTTTCAGGTCAAAAATACACTGATAAAGTACAAAAGATGAATCAAAGATTGCAGTGATTACCTTTCCTCTTCAAATTGAGCTAGGCTAGGCACAAAAGCTGTCACCGGGTGACCGCCAAAGCTGCTCCTCTTTCTTCTCCTCTCGCAGCTGGGACTGCCTCTGGCTTGGCGTTGTTGTCTCGCACCCAACTGCTCCCGCTGATTAGGCACCCCATCGCATCTAAGTACACTTGACATACGAAAAAGTATGTATTTAGCAAAAACTATATAGGTCTAGGTCTAGTTCTAGTCACACGGCACGGCTTTCGCACTTAAACACAACAAACAGCAGCGACGGCTATCAGTGGTTGACCGACCGATTACGGGTCTAGTTTGTAGCTATCGACGCACTTGCGGATCTCCAGCACGTCCGCCGGATAGACCCGGCAACAGCCGCCGACGATGCGAACGCCCAGGTTCAGCCATTCGGGTACAAACTTGGCCACCTGCTCACCGGTGCCCGTCCACTCGCCCAGCTGGGCATCGTAGATCTCGCCGCGATTGCTGTAGACCACCAAAGGAGGACGATCATTCTGGCCAGTGGCCTTAATGAAGGATGTCAGCAGCGGGGTAACAAACTGTGGATTCACACAGTTTACGCCGATGCCCAGGAACCGATCCTCGGCCTTCCGGCTCTTGACCAAATGCCAGATGGAGAGGGCTGCTGTGGCAAAGGATTCACCACTGGCCAGGTGAGATTTGTCCTGGAAATTGAATGAAGAGGGATTAAACAGTTTAAATTAAAAAATTAACTTCTAACAATTAAGAATCTCTAAAAATTAATACAAATCTCAAGGGCACACTCACCTTACACTGAAAGGACACCCAAAAAGTGGTCTTCTCACTGAGCTCTGTCACAAATTCCGTCACTGCCTCGGCCTCCAGTTGGCAAGGCAACGTCTCCAAAGCCAAACCATAAACGCCAGCCGAAAGACACGACAAAATCCTGGTTTTGTGCCACTCCTTTAGCTCTTCCTTGGTCACTCGATCGGCATAGTTACCCGAATACTCGGAGCCATCGTGCAGGCAGGCGCCATAGGGTCCAATGGAACCCAAAACCAAGGGGAATATTGCTGATCCCTCTCCTCCCGTCTCTCTAAGGTATTGCTGCTTGGCCTCGTTGGCCAGGGCCACACTGGTCTGCATCATCTGGATGCCCTCGGTCTCTGTGAGTCCCAGGTACTTGGTGAATCCCTCCACGCTGGACTGATAGGTGTTGGTCAGTATGATGTCGGCGCCGCTGCGCAGGAAATCCAGATGCGTGCGGACCACAGCCACCGGGTTGGTGGCATCGAAGCGAGAGCCCCACAGCGGATCGCCGTCCACCTCCTCGGTGACATTTTTGGCCAGTTGGGAAGAGAAGCCGCCGCACTTGACTAGGATCTGTTTGTCAGACCATTCGTTAGGCACCATTTTGTGGGTTCCCAAAAAAGTAGATGTTGTTGCCTTCGAGTGTTTCCACGTAATGGGTTTCGTTTTGGATTTTGTGAGATAGTCGTATCTGTCGGATACGTGAGATTGTGACTTTGTCTAGTTCTCTTTCCCTTGGACTTGAAATTTTGTATTTTTCAGCTTTTTCCGCTTATCTTTCAGTGAATTTTTCACAACGCAAAAGCTTACCTCAAACTCACTCAGCCACTCGCTGCTCGCTCAGCTGTTCTTTTGTTTACAAATGCTGGCAGGGGTACAGTGGAAACTTGATAAGGTGAACTTGGAAAATTTTAATAAATTGGAAAAGCAGCTCTTTACTTATTTAGCTTATCAGTTTTACTGGGAAAATATTAGTTAGATTTGATTTTGAGTTTTTTTGCAAGGCCTGATTTGTTAATTTGAAATCTTCAGAGTCAAGTTAAATAATGAAATTATATTCTTAATGAATAAATACATTTAAAAATTAATAACTGTATTTGTTACCTTCAAGAAAATTAACTAAAACTGATATTTACAAAGTTTAAATATATATAAATACAAATGTATAATAAAAACATTACTAAATTTCAGAAAAATAAATCAACAATTTGATATATATATATGTATTTTTAGGACACAATAAAAAACCCCAGGGATTTGTAAACAAAATACTAAAATATTAAACATATTTATATAGAATAAAATAAAATAAATATTAAATAAATATCCCTGTTTTCGAGAACCCACTGTATTTGTAAATATGCAATGGTAATAGTGTGACAAATGTACTAAAATAGCAACAATCGGTGAAAGAGAAAAGAAAAACGAGGGGAAAATATAAGGTACTGATGAACCACAACAATGGGCATATATTATAATTCATTTATTTAAGCAACAGATGTCGTAAATGATTTTAAAAAACAAGAAACGAGGTTTATATACCCTTGCAAATTGCAAATAATTTATTTAAAAGGGTATACAAATATAATAAGTACGTTAAAAAATAGTTCTGAATGATATTACACACAAATACCCACAAATTTTTTCATAATTTTATATGATAATTTTTGAGAAAATTAAACCTTAAAAATATCATAACTAAGCCAAAAATGCATTAATTTTAATTCGGAAAGCAGTTTTAAGTTAGTTTTTTTAATGTTTATAAATCTGCATCCAAAATTTTAGAAAATCAAATTTTTGGTCAAATTTTGAAAAAAATCATGATGTAACCCCTTTAATTTTTTTGCAAAAATGGCTCAAAATTCAATTTCTTCCGAACAAAGCTAGAAAGAAGCGCCTGTTAATGCTGATCAAGAATATATATGGTTTATAGGGTCGGAAATGACTGCTTCACTAAATAAAAATAAAAATAACCTTCAAGAAGACCCAAAAATATTTAATTTCTTTAAGTCGATATAACCATAATTTTATATTATAATTTTTAAAAACTCGACTGTTGAAGCTGCTTAAGAATATATATGATTTTTAGGGTCAGAAATGCATTCATTACTGCGCTGGCAGCTTTTGACTGCAATTATAATAGCCTGTAAAAAATATAGCAAATGACACAATGCACTCATGGAAAGTCGTGGGTAAAAACATAGGCATAGTCATGGGAAAAATAGAAATATAAAAATATATACTAAAGTAAGCAAATATTTTTCAAGTAAACGAAGTAAACATATCACGAATCAGATAAATATATATATTTTATAATTTGAATAATAAAAATAAAATATAATAATATTTTTTTATGATTTAAATGTTTTATTATTATAAATTGTTTATGATTTCAAAGTATTTTTTTATACCACTGACATTCCCTCTCCCCAAAAAAGAAAGCTTCCCAATTAAAACACTCGTTTAAAATATAAATACAATATGCGCATATTTTATATAGTCGAGATAATACATACACATATAGATATATGCAAAAACAAATGGTGTAACTAACATAGACGAGAGTATGTTAATCGATATGGATAGATAATAATTAATGCTTAAATACCTTTTTTCTCGTTAGTTAGAATGCAGTTTAAGTGATAATTAATTTGTTGCTTATGTATTTTTTTTTTTTGGGGTTTGCTTGCTTGTTATTGGGTGTATAATCACATAGTTTTTGTTGTATAATTGTTTATGTATAAATAAATAAATCGAGGGAATAATTCAAAAGGCTGAAAAATGCCACACAAAACAATAAATGTAAATGTAACTTTGGTAAACTTACGCATTGTATAAATTCTAGAACATGTTTTTCGCGCGCGCCTTTCTAAAAATCTAGTTTACATTATTTGTTGCACTAAATAACAGTTATATAATATATATATATATAGGTATATATAATATGTATATGTATATTGTTCTTTGTTGAATGTATAATAAGTGTGTGTATACAATTAATAATATTATTACCCATTCTTCATTCATAAATACTACAATCCAAAATACACACTGAAAACTTTAGGATTTGGGAAATTATTTAAAAGTGTTTTAGGTCCCATTATCTACATTTTTTGTATACTTTTGGATAGCTCTTTAAAGAGATTTCAATACGAAAAACGGAACGTAGGAGAAAAGCTTAAACGAAATGCCAAAAAATAGTCTTGAAACACTCAGTCTCAGGTATCTCCTTGATAGTTTTCCTCCCTTCTTTCCCCCTCTTTTTTCCACTTACGAAAACAGATTATTTCTCCTCTTCAAGGATCCAAATTTCTTCTCTGCCTCTAGCAGCATCTTCTCGTTCCTCACCACCTCAAAGGGTATCGTCCGGGAGAGACGATCCATCTCCTGGTCGGAGGTAAAGTCCTCGAAACTCATATTACTAAAGCCGGTCTTGGCGGAATTCTGTATGGTATTTGATTGGAAATTGCGACTTCCACCTGCCTTTCTGTTCTCATCCTGATTCTGCATATCATCATCATCGTCGTCGTCGTCGTGGGACTGATACTGCAAACGCTGGTGCTTCTGCTTGCTGCCAGAGCTCAGCGACGAAGTGGAACCCAAGGCGGCGGCACTAACTTTCTTGTACGAGGCGTGACCCTTGACCTTCTGGGTTAGTTTCCCCGGAAGCACCCTCACAGCCAGATGGTGGGACTTCTCCTTCTTGGCCTTGCCAGGGGCAGGTAATCCATCGTCTGCCAGCACATCGGCACCACGCACCACCACGGGCTCCTCCTCATCGTCGGGCGTGAAGTCGGAGAGGCGATCTTGAGAGATTTGCACATAGGCATTATCGGCAATGGGCAGCAAGGGTCGGAGGTGAAGGGCTCCTCCCGATGGAGGTGGAGCAGGAGCGGGCAGGGTTACAGGTATTGCAGCAGCTGGTGAGGATTGTGGTGGAGCAGGAGCGGTGGCGCTAGAGCTGCTGCTGGTGCTGGTGTAAGAGGGCACATTCACATAGACACTGCTGGTGGACTTGGTGGCCGCTGGGTTAATAATATTATTATTGTTGTTATTATTTTTATAGCTCATCAAGGGCTCCGGCGTTTTGTTGATTATAATCGAGTGATTTATGGTCACCAGTTGGGGAGGAGCAGCCACGGAAACTGAGACGGGCAGAGACACAGACACGGGCACAGGGACAGAGACGGAGGCAGAGGCAGGCTTTTTGATCACATTATTATTATTGTTGTTGTTGTTGTGACTGGGAAAGTGTTGGAGCTGCTGGTGGTGGTTCAGGGGATTCTGTTCAATGGTGCGTATTACCTGGGGAAAGGGCTCCGAGCCAAAGAGATCGCATTGCGTTGAAGGATTCTCCTGGAACTCCTCCTTCTCCAGGTTATCCTGGAAGGGATTTGGATTGAAGATGGGCTCATTGAACTCATCCAGCTGCGGGGATTCCCCTAAGCCTCCATTGGCTGGAAAGCTGGCAAAGTTCGAGGCTGCAGAAGAGGTTCCTTCTCCTCCTTTAACCGGCGTAGAAGTCCACATTTCAGGCTCTGCTTGACGCTTCTCCTTCTCCTTGGCCTTGGGCTTACTCTTTCTCTTGAGAGGCATGCCCACGGGCAACTTGAAGGGGGCCAGGGCAAACACATCCTCCTCGGATTCCGGAACTGGCGGCGGTGGAGCCATGGGTGACTCTGTGCTGGTCTTGCTCTCCCCCGAATCTCCGTAGTCCAGTTCGTCATCCAAAAGCAAAGGACGATCCCCAAACTTGTGCAAATCACTAGAAGTGGGACTCAGTTCCTCGGATGGAGCACTGGGATGATCCCCATTGCCGGTTGTTACCAGGAGTAGATTGGTTCTATCCTTCTTCTTCATGCGCACCTTGACCACCACCCGACTCCTGACATCGTCCTCGTGCGTGGTCACACTCTCGCACTCGGCATGATAGGCCGAACTGCTGCACGTCTTCACCGACTCACTGATCCCGTCCATTTCCGCGGGCAAGGGGCGTCGTAGCTTGGCCAGAGTCTGACTGCGTGGATTCTCATCGAACAGGTCATCGTCCTCGGCACGGAGATCACTTGCCGAGCCTATGGAATCCCCATCCGACTCGGCTGCCTTGGCCGCTTCCTCCGCCTGGGCAGCCACAGCGGCGGCCATGAGATTCAGCTGCTGGGCCGCCTGGTGGGCAGCACTGGTGGGCTTCTTGGTCGTCGTCTGGCGCAGCTTCTTCACAATCGGCAGGTGGGAGGAGGTCTTGTCCACCTTGTGGTAGGCCACCTGCTGGATCTTGTGTATGGTCTCCGGCAGAGTGCTCGTCACCATCTGCATTTGCTTGATGAAGCTGGAGGAGCCCTCGTCGCTGTCCTGCTGAAAGAACTCGCCGGAGCCCTCGTCGGAGTCCGAGTCATCCGAGGTGGGCTGATCCTTGCTGCGCAGCTTCTCGTATTTATTGCGATCCTCCAGTGGCAGCTTCACATAGCCCTCACCTGCTCCGGCTCCCACTCCTCCTCCACCATTCTCCGAATCCGTTTTCAGTTTGCTTATGAGCGAGGTCTTCTCCTCGCTGGACACCTCCAAAGTGGGCGACAGCAGCCACTTGGATGAGTTGGAGTTGGAGGCGGTATTGGCCCCGGCTCCCACCACTCCGCCTCCTCCGGTCACCAGGGCACCAGCTGCGCCGGTGGAAGCGCCGATGAATTTCGCTGTGGACGAGAGCGAAGGACTTTTATGCAGTAAGGTAATGAGATTACGGGTTTTACGGAGGGATTAGCGGCTGTTTTTTTTTATCTACTTCTAAGTATGGATGGAACATGTGAGCGGTGAGTGATCGTTGCACCCCAGAAATGTGATGAGTTCATTCTGAGAGTTTGGTTTCTGAGTGATTTTGTTGCTCTACGTGACGTATACGTAATCTTTTTTTTTATTTTTGAAGGGGGGTTAGTTTTGGGTGACAAATGGCGAAGACAGAAGCTGGAAATCGATGTTAGATGTTGGCCCAAAAGGTTAATTCGATGATTTGTGCTTAGATTTTGAAAGGCATGCACAGTTTTTAGCTTGAAAATTTTTAAGATATTAAAGTCACTCTAAATACCAGTGACTTTTGTTTTGTTTTTTGGTATTTAAAATATCATTAAATTTAGTAAAATTTTAATTTATCAAATATTTTATGTATTTTTAAGCTACAAATAACTAAATTTAAGAACAAAAATACTTAAAGACTTAAAAAAAAAGGTTTTAAAGTCGTTAAGGGGGTTTCCTGAATTAGGAGGCAAAAAAAATCGATTTTTTTTTTATTGCTTAAATCGATAGATAAACTATCTAAGAATATACCACAAAAATTTCAGAAGCCAATTCGAAGTATTTTCGAAGATACAGAGATGAAAGCAAAGGAGCGCCGGGTAGGTTTGCAGGCGCTTGGCGAACTTTGAGGCCCGTTTTCTCACTTTTTAAGTTTTTACGATTCTTTCGAATTGGCGGGAAAGATAACAAAAAAACTAATTGACCGATTGAAACGAATAAAGGCTTATTCTCTTTAGAATTAAATTCTCTTCTATTTGAACTAAAACGGTTGTTGAAAACCGCTTTTTTATATTTTTTACAGCATGTTAAAGTCAATATTTCATTTTTCGGGATAAAATATTGACTTTAACATGCTGTAAAAATATAAAAAGCGGTTTTCAACAACCGTTTTAGTTCAAATAGAAGAGAATTTAATTCTAAAGAGAATAAGCCTTTATTCGTTTCAATCGGTCAATTAGTTTTTTTGTTATCTTTCCCGCCAATTCGAAAGAATCGTAAAAATTAAAAGTGAGAAAACGGGCCTCAAAGTTCGCCAAGCGCCTGCAAACCTACCCGGCGCTCCTTTGCTTTCATCTCTGTATCTTCGAAAATACTTCGAATTGGCTTCTGAAATTTTTGTGGTATATTCTTAGATAGTTTATCTATCGATTTAAGCAATAAAAAAAAAATCGATTTTTTTTGCCTACTAATTCAGGAAACCCCCTTAATATAAATTTAAAAAATATTAGGAAGAAATTTTACTTTAAAAAATTAATTCTTGTTATAAAATTCTTAAAGAAAAACTAAAATACTTTAAAAATTAAATGTTTTTGTATAAAATTCTTGAAAAAAAAACCAAGAAATATAAAAATATAAATGATAATAATAATTAAATAAATAAATGGAAAGGAATAGGTTACTACAATTTCTAAAAATTTAGCTTCGTTAACAAAAACAAACATAAATAATTTATTACTTTAATAAATAAAACCTATTAAATATATTATACCCTGTGCATGCCTTAAAGATAAACCAATTAGCTTATAAATTAAATTACAAAGCTAGCAAATACTAGTTGAACGTGTTTTTACGGGACCAATAAATTATATTGAAAATATTTTTATATATAGAAATAAAAAATATACAAAAATATCTGTTGTAACGTTTAGATATCAATAAATAACTGGATGCAATTTTACAATAATATTGCTCCCTTCATAAATAACACATAAATTAAAAAAAAAAGTATTTTCAAGATTAAATTTGTACTAAAATAAAATAAATAAAATCTATTCAACTGATATTTGCCAGCTCTGTATAAACTCCCACACAGATTTAGTTAGTTTAGATTTACATTTAGCTGAACATGTTCAGTTCTGGTTTGGTTTTTGAAACATAATATATAGAATTTATTGCAGTTTTGCTTTAGTTTCTTTTTTTTTGGTTTAATTCTCATACAATTCTTGTGGCCTGAACTTAAGCTAAAAACGCCCTTTCGTTACGGTTTTTCTCTTTTTTGTTTTTTGTATAAATATATAGTGCTTTATGTATATATATAATCTGCATTTGTTGATCATCTGATAATAAGTTGCTTGTATGTGTCTTGGTTACCTGACTTTTGTTGCTTATCGCTCATCTTGGTTTCTCTCGAATTATTGCTACATTTTTCTTTAGATCTTTGGGTTGGCCACCACCGCCTCATCAAGGTGTGTTTTAGCATCGATTAAACTTATGTACAGTATTAACAGGTGTTTGCAGTTAGTAAGTAGATAAGGCTAGATTGAACATTTCGAGTGGAGCGAACGGACTTGACAATTGATTTTCGGTTTTTAGTTTAAATCGTTTCTTTGCTGCTGCCACATCCGCAGAGAACGCAGCTTGAGGCGAACTTCAAGAAAAGCGCAAAAAATAGAGATTATAAATAAAATCAAACGGAAAAGGTTGCTAAAAATCTTAATTAAATTGAGCATTAATTTTTTACTAAAAAAGGGTTTAAAAAGAATTTACCAGAGATTTATAAACCACTTTTTCTCAAGGAGAAATGTTTTTAAAACCTCTGAAATTTCTTTTAAACCCACGAATATCTCTCTAGCCTTTAGCATTAATCTCTGAAAATTGCACAATGATAACACATGGACTTTTAAGTAATTAAATAACTTTGATATGCAAATTATTGCCAAAAAACAATTGCTTCACACTCTTTTCTCTTCTACGCCAACAACATGAATAAATAGTTATATTTATATTTTCTCTTAGTTTTTAGTTTTTAGCTAAATTTACAAATTACACACAGAGCAGATAGATACATTTACACGTTATAATAATAATAATAAATCCAATGAAATTGTACAATCAAAATAATTGAAATTTTGTTCATTTTTTTGGTTTGGCGTACCACAACCGCTAATTGTTTTTAATTGTTAATGACTAAGATTTACATAGAGACTAAAAATTATATTTACTAAATAGGCGTTTCAATAATTTCTCTTTTTGGTTTATCGTATTTTTTGTTTGTTTTCATTTGTTTCTACTAGCTTAGGACCAGCACCAAGAATTACTTTGTTAGAAGCGCTTTTGATTGGAGTTTTGTATTTAGATTTGTTAGAGGAAGATAGAGAGCTTAGGGTGGTGCAAGCGGGTGGGTGTGTCTTCTTTTGATGTACACCAAAGACCCTATAAGAACTTGAATTTGATGCATTAAAAATTTCCATTAATTAAAAATACAGAAAAAATACTGCCATATGCAGAAGTTTATATACATTTCTTTAATAATAAAAAAAAAACCTAGCTGAATTTATAAAGTTTAAAAAAAAGAAGGAAGTTTTTAAGCAAAACAAATTTTTTTAGGGTAATTGATTATTATTTAAACAATAAAGAATATTAATTTAAGAAAAATCCAGCAAATTTATACAATTTGAAATTGTTTAATTAATTAACTTTTATTTTTTTATTTTATATTGCATTAATATCTTCTAATTATATAATTTTTTAAATATTTTCTTTGTTTAAACTCTGGCAGAATCACATTTTTTTAGAAATTCAACAGAAAACGTATGCAAGTTCCAAAAAAATTAAAATTTTCTGTAAGAAAAATGTTTTTAAATTAAATAATTAAAATTAATTAAATTTTCTACAGTATTTCTTAAAAACTTTTCAAGTTCTGATAGGTCTTGGGTAATTATTTTTACAAATAGAATAAAATATCATTATTTTCCCTTCACCAAAAGCTTATTAATTACACACCTACCACCCTTGGTTATGTTATTTGCAGTTTATACCACAAAGTTAAGTTAGTTTCTTGGGTTATTGTTGGGTTTTAGAGCTTAGTGTTGGGTGTTTGGTGCTTGGGGGATATTTACAAATTCAATTGATTGCACTTAATGTAGGGCTCTGTGTTCTTTCTTCCACCGATCGAACGAATCAGATCGGTTTATAGCATAATCTATAGCTGAATCTTTCTCTGGCTGCCGCTGACGCTGGCTGGCTGGGGGGAGCTGCTCCTCTTTCGGATGGAGGGAGTTGTGTTATAGTTGAGCTGATCGTTACTAGGAAGTTTTTAGACTACGTCTACGTCTACGTTCAAATCTGCACTTTCTGCACTTTCTGCATCGAGATCAAGAGAGAGCGAACAAAAGCAACAATCGGAAAACTAAACGTATTCTGGCATTTTTTTTGCAAAAACGATTAAAGGTGGAATTTCATGCTTTACCTCCGGTTTTCCGCAGCGAGCTGGCCTTCTCGCGCAGTCCGGGTGGCAAACTGAAGGGTGCAGATCCAAAGGGATCCTCGGAGGCCATTGGTGGATGCGGCGACACAGCGGTTGTGATCGGAGGAGGAGGAGCAGCAGCAGTAGCCAGGGGAGTAGCAACTGGAGGAGCCACTGGGGCAGCAACAGGCACTACTACTACCCCGGAGGCATTCTGCTCTGTGGGCGTCAGCGTTGAGGTAGTAGATGCTGACTTGGTGGTGATGCCTGTAGTAAACAATGATATTATTAATAATTATTCAAGAAAAATCAAATAAAAACCATTTTCCTTAATTTTCCCATTTTCCCCTTTCATAAATTCCCTTTTACTTACTGCCTTGACTTCCCCTTTGCCGGATCTTATCAAATTCCGCCTCAAATATATGATCTTCGGTCATCTGGCTGAAGGGTTGCTCCTCCTCGAATGGATTCCAGGCCTCCACACGCTTTTCCACTGCCGTATGGCCCGGCTTCATCAGTTCGCTAATGGACACTGGCGCCGTATTGGCCGAAGAAGCGGCATATATGCCAGGATTGGAGGCAGCACTTGCCAGGGTCTGAGGACCATCACCCATGGCAGCCAAATTATTGTTAAATGGGGCCAGAAATTGACTTGTCTCATTGGCAAACGTTCTAAGTAAATAATGGATGAGTAAAGATGATGATCAGTGAGAGTAAATGACACAAATTAAGAGAAAAAAGAGCAAGCAAAGCGAATAAAATTAATAGAGAAAAGTGCAGAGAAGCTTAAGGCTACATAGTTTCTATTGACTCTGCGGCTCATCAACGGCCTCATCATCATCCTGGTCACTTGTAGCTCTTAAGTAGGACACACACATAGAGAGAGACAAGCAGTAAATGAGTGAAAGAGCAGAGAGAAGAGCAAGAGAAACACAGAACAAAACACATACAGATCGTGCTTGGAGAAAGCATAGAAAGCAGAGCTCGCAAAAAACGTTAATAGGTTAAAGGAAAAAGAAGATTTTGTTATGCAAATGTCTTTAAATTAGACTTGGAATTGAAATGGAATCTATATAAAAGTTTTCATCGAAAGGGCATTAGAAAAATAGCTTGAGTACTTAGATTCCATATTAAAACTGTTATTTAAGAGCTCTGTTAGAAAAGTAATCCAAAATTTGTAAGTATTAATTCTCAGACTCACTTATTAAAGGCCGAGGTATCGCTCACATTGCGTCTGTGTCCACCGCCTCCGCTTGGTTTTGGCGGCGTCAACATGCTTTTTGTGGGCGTGCCGCCATCACCAGCAGCAGCCAAATCCTGAGGCACCACCACCGTCTCCTCTTTTTTGGGCTCTTCTGGAACTGTGGCTGCTGTTGGAATTGCTGTTCCGCCAGCTGGCTCATTAAACGGATCCGGATAGCCGCTGGGTTCAAACAAATTGCTGGCAGGAACTGGTGGCCCTACCGGGGCCCCCTGTGGCGGAGGTGCAGCCGCTGGAACTGCTGCGGGCATGGCTGGGAAATTGGCTTGAAATTGCTCTACCACCGCCACCGGCTGTGGCGAGGTGATATTCAGCCTTGGCGAGGGACTGGGCGGCAGACCGAGACCCAAGGCATTGCCTCCATGCACCGCGGAGGAGCCCTTGGGCCGGGAACGTGGAGCCACACTGGTGCCCGCCTCCACCACAGAGACATTCTGCGACTTGGCTGCCTTGGAGGCGGCAGCACTGATCCGCTTGGCCTCGGATTCGAAGGGGGGCACCAGCAGCAGGTCAAAGTTGGGTGTGGGGGTTTTCTGGAGAGGATTATATTATTAAATTTGAGAAGAACTTGCTTTCCTAAACTCTTATACTTACATGCAGATTCTGCACGGGATTATCCTTGCCGGAGAGTCGAAAGGCCACCTCGCACACCTGCCAGATGTTGGGTCTTCGCTCCATATCCGTGTCCAGCATGTACTTGATCAGCTGATGCATACCCTTCGAGTACTTGGAGCTGTCCGGAATGGAGAACTGCCCGTTCTGAATGGCCAGCGTGCTCTCCCCAAAGGGCAAGGAAAAGAAACAGAGCTTGTAGAGCATGCATCCTAGAGCCCATATATCCGCCTTGGTGGTAATACTCTTCCCATTATACAGATCTATCATCTCGGGGGCTCGATACGAGAGTGTCGTATACTTCTGGATCTCCTCCTCCACTACAGTGACGCCATGCTGCTGGGGATTTAGCGTTTTGGCCGTGGCCGAGCCAAAGTCACAGAGCACAAAGTTCCCGGCGTCCGTCTGCAGGATATTCTCTACCTTCAGGTCACGATGCAGGATCGGGGTCTGGCAGTAGTGCAGACGGGAGACGGCCTCGGCAATATCACAGAAGATGGTGAGCACCTCGGGCTCCGTGAAGCCAACGTGTAGCCTGATTATTAATTATTAATAATAATAATAAAAAATTGTAATAAAGTCATCTCACCTTGCATTCATCATGGCCAGCATGTGATGCTTGCAGTAGGGCATCAGGAGCAGCACCTCGCACACCCCATTCCCAGTGGGCGTAATGCTCGAGTCCACATAGCCAATGATGTTCTTGTGCCCACTCAGGTTGCTCTACAAGAGATAGAAGCTCCATTAGATTACATTTCCTTTGTCCTGATTTATTTACTCTTACCGCAATCTGTATCTCGCGCTTCGCCACATTCAAATCGTGCTCATTGTTGACATACATGCGCTTCAGGGCATACTTGGTGGCGGAGGCACTGCCTCCGCCATTGCCGCGGGCCAAGAAGACCATGGCGAAGCCACCTGCGTGTGTTTCAGGGGGGCGAAAGAGAGGGTAAAGCAGACATTAGTAAGGGGGTTCTAGACATCCATAACAGCTGTCAGCTGTAAACAGTAAATAGCGACAGCGAAAATAAGGGGAGTACAGAGGCGGGTAAGTATAGGCTCTTAAATACCCTGGGATTACCCAGAACACTAAAGAAATTGTTAAATTTGATTTCATAATTTGCATAATTTTTTATAATAATAATAATATCAGAAGAGAGTCTTAATATAATAAAACACAATTTTCACAAATCAAATTTAAAAATATTCATAAATAAGTCTAAAAATCAATCAATATTTTATAAATTATATTGATATCAATTTTGTTATAAATACACATCAAACTTGTAAAACCTCTTCCCCTAATATTATTTAAAAATCTCTATGACTTCACATAAATATCTATAAATACGTGACTGAATTCTGATATTGTTCTCTCACATAATACACGTTCTCTTCATAAAACTCAAAATACAGGGTATTCTCTATGCAAACGATAGCAGTTAGTTACTGTTGTCTGTCTGGGGGTCTGGCCATGGAACGATTTACACATGTTTTCAGCCGATTTGCATGAGTTTTATTCTATTTTATTGCAAATAGAATTCAAGTAGAGAGCCCCGCTGGTGCTAGAGCTGCTCCCTCCCCTTTCCACCTGTCGCTTTGCGCCACTTCAAAATGTACGATAAAAAAAAAGGCAACGCAATATATAAACTAAACTATTGAAGGTCACGTACAGAAATAACAACAATAACATGCGACAATAACAATACTCAACTGGGAGATACTCAAGTGGGAGGAGACAATGGGGGGCGTGCACTGGCAATAACAATTGAGTTAAATCGTGAATATATTAAATATTTATATAGTTTAATTAGTCGATTAAGACATTTTTATTGAATTACTAGTTTTTAGTTTATTTTAAAAATATCTAAGCTGTGATAGGGTTTGTTTTTAAGAAGAAGAGATGAATGAAAATTGTATTTGTAAGTTGAAATAAATATTTAATAAAAAAATTGTTCATGCTATTAAACTTGACGAAAACACTTCCAAAAAACATTAAGAAATAAATGTAAGACACTTTCCAGACCACTTAAATAATCTGAAAAAATATTTAACCATTTAAATTTGTTAAAAAAAAAAAAAATGTTTTTAATTTTTTTCTCCGTGTTTTTTTAACAGAGAGAAATGGATAACGGGCGGCGAATGAATGTAACCATTTTTGCTTGATATTTTTTTGCTCGACTTTGTGAAATTATGGCGTCAAATGTTAATCAATGCTGAAGGTTGCCTGCCTTCCAACAGCAACAAATCAACTTTGGCAAAAAAAAAAATAAAGCTCAGAAAAAGCAACTACTACAAAGACAGTAATAATAGTATGAAAAGCAACAATAACAGTGCACAATTGTAACGAAAACGAAGCGAGAAAACTTGAGAAGGCAATTTAAAACGCAAACGAGTTCGGTGATAGAGAGAAAAAAAAAGGGGGGTGCTAAAGAGGTGTGAAAGGGGCTTTGAAAGGGGGTTAAACGGGGCTTAAAGGGGGTACTAAAATCGCTAGCAGAGAGGGAAGAAGCTACATTCGTTAACTGTTTGTCGCTTAGTCATTTGCAAATGTATTTGTTGTTTGTTATTGCGACTGTCTTGTTGGGCACTCAAAGAAAACGGGTAAAAAAAAAGGTGAGTAATGAGTGTTTTACTTTGAGTATATACAGGATTTAGTACAGTAAAGAAACTTTAACAATCATTCTAGGGAAATTAATTAATATTTATTATTCATTTTTGGGGATAACAAGTGTTTATTTTCATTGGGAAATTTATTAAAATAATGGGTATAAAAAAGGTGAGTAATGAGTGCAATGCTAAATGCTCCAGTACAGTAAAGAATCATTAACAATCATTCTAGGGAAATTTAGGAATATTTACATTCAAATTTTGAAATGATGTAAACTCTCTCTCAAAATCTACTATTTAATACTTAAAAGAAAGTAGTTAACCTTGTCTTATTGCCAACTCCCCAATCTCCCCAAAACAAAGTGACACACTTCACACCGCCCCATAAATTACAGGGTATTTTTTGACAACAGCTGACTGTCTGACAGCGGCGCCAGCGCACCGCAGCAAAACAACATTTGCGAATCGAGTTGCTTGCCAAAAAGTATATAAAACCAAAAAGCAAAACAACAAAAAACAAAAGCAGACAAGTAAACCGAAAAGAAGGTAGCGAATAAAATGGAATGGAAGGCGGTATTGTAGTATGAGCAATCGTTAGATGATCAAATGCCAAAGAAAGCCAGAGAAATGGAGGCACTGGGAATGGGTATGGCGAATGGCGATTTGTGTGCACTCCGCAAGTCAAGGACAAGGACGAAGACCAGGCGATTTCCTCCTGGGAAATGCGACCTTTGCCATTAAGAATAGAAATTGCCAAAGGTGGAAAGCGCTTAGACGGGAGAGACAATAGGAAGAAGATGAAGTGAGTGCGCTGATGAGTGTTGGTCTTGCCGCTTCATTGGCTAAATTAACATAATTGATTCAATTGATTTGTGGCCATGTGCACTGGCTACGGGAATTCAATGGGATTTCTATGGAAAAACCAACCAGAACAGTGACTTTATATTATACAGTCGAGCTTCGGCAGTCTAAAACCTTAATTCAGGCAATGTAGTAAAGCTTTAATAACACAATTTTGAAACTTTTTAATGTATTTCTTTTGAAATTTTTGGTTTGCTCATAAAAAAATGTAGTTTTGAATGTTTTTTTGGGCCAGGGACAAACACTACATTGCCTTTATTTCAAAGTTAAAGTTGGAGTTAGAAAGATCAAGGCACTTTAAGTAATATTTTATGTAATAGCACACACAATAGCACAAACATGACCAAATCTATGGCCGGCACCCATTACTTCATACGGCGGAGGTTAGAACCAGTTGAGAATTATATGTGCACACGTGTGATATTTTTGCAAATGGAATTTTAAGGGCTAAATCTCCTTTTTTTTAATGAAAAATTTACTAGAAAAAAGTGCAAATCGCACTTCTATTAAGAAAGGCACTAAACGAAGCGAATTTGATATAAAACGCCATCAATTTGAGAAAAATAACAAATTTGGAACATAGAAAATAATATTTATGGAATATTCCAGGAATTTAGTAGGTCAATCAACTTTTAAATGTGGCTAAAGTGTGCAGGAAAGCTTAATTTAAAGAGCTGGTTTAGAAAATATGTGTGCTTAATGATAACCGGTCTTAATTATACATAATGTCGTTAAGAAGTCTCAGCAAAGCGTTTTTAAAAAAAGGTTTACTCGAATTCAAGATCAAATTGTAATTCGATTTATGGGAAATTATAATATTTTGAATTTTAAAATAAGAAAACATGTTATTTTCCCACAAAACTCATTATATTTCACCCTGGTTCCAGTTTGGTAATTTCAACTGTTTGTGTAATCGGAAAGTGGCGACAAGTGGCGCCCCTAATTAAGGGGATACGCAGCTGTTTTATGTTTTTTTTTTTTTCGTTTTATTTGCCATTTGTGTACGCCCCACATTTTTGGAAATACTTGGGTTTTTTATCTAATCTGCGGGAAATCGGGAGTACGCAGTGTTACTGCCCACCTGTAAGTCGGACAGGTGATAAGCATAATCGCACTGAGAGCTACGTGTTGGGAGATAGGAACAGACACCGCACACCGCACTTGTCACCACACACTCACCTTCGGCCAGGACATCCTCGACGGTGACCGTGACGCGTCCCACTGTAAAGACCTTGCCCACAAAGCTGTTCTTCTCGTTGGAGGAGGACGAGCTGCTGCTGCTGTTGTGCGGATTATCCAGTCGCGAGTTCTCATTGCGCTCGAACTTGGACAGGATTTTCTTCATTTTCCACGGCGATTCTCGAAAAAGAAAATGTTTACTGCTCCACACTCACTCACACACACACAAACACTCGCACTCGGATCAATCACACGGTTTTAATTGCCTGCGCGTAGGTGTGTGTGTTTTTTTGCAACTCTTTTTTTCGCGTGGGCGGCAGGCAGGGCTTCGGGGCCGCTGGCCAATTAATCCACGTTGAAGCTGGATTCGATTAGCCGTAATTAAGCAAATTCTGCGCAATTTGTGCTTTTTGCAATGCACACACACACACACCACACACTGCAGGGGAAAAAGAAAGTTGTTCGATTTTCCTGCTGCTCTTGTTGGTGTTCGACGGGCAAGTGTGACCAGAGTGCGGTTTTTGACAAAATGCCACTGCACTTAAGTTATCGATGGGCAAAGAGGAGATATCGATAGCAACTTAGCGCTGTAAACACTCACCTCTAGCTGTGTAATTTCGCCAAATTGTAATTTACTTGATAAAATGGCAAATACCGCTAAATATTTTGCTCTTTTGGAAAGTTTAAGGTTTGATAGAGCTCTTGGTAAGTAAAATATTATATATCCATGCATATTTATGTGATATATTTCCTTCACCAGCAACTAGCAAGGAAAATACCTCTGCGTCGCCGGCTTCTCTACAAAACAACTTACTTTTATTACAAAAATATGAGAAAAAAGAGCTATCTGAGCAACTGCATCAATTATGCTTGGCTTATCAGTTAACAACCGAACAGGAATCCAGTATAGATCCCGAAAAATCACCCACTGTAGCCTACATGGTCCGCCTGCAACACGTGCTCCATGTGATTACAAAAAACATCAATTTCCACAGCGATGCCAAGGAGGACCTTATATCCGTGGCTCACCTGAAGCTCTGCATCCAGGCCACGCAGGAGTTGGCCTACTACAGCCTTCGCTGCCAGCTGCACGAGGATTTCTATAAGTCGCCCATCTTCCAGGAAGCCCAGGGAAAACTAAAGACTAATCCTAGCCTGCTGCTCCTGGGCATTCAGTTCTTTGTGGATCTTCTACAAATCCGACAGTTTCACTTGGCCAACTCCATGGAGCAGGTGCAAAGGGATCTCCTGGCGGGCATAATGACTCTGCGAGTCCTTGAGGATTCCCCAAAGTTGGAAGCGGCCATCTCATATCTTTGGGAGAAGGAAATAAAGGCTGACTTCTTCCGGCACATCTTGCTCTTGAAGGCCACACCGCTGTGCAAGCCCTTGGCCGAAGCACTGCACCAACAGTTGCTGGGTAAGCTAAACTCTCCTCAAGGATTCGCTAGTCTAGTGGAGGCACTGCAGCAAACGCCGAATGTGAGTCCAACGAGAAATGCAGAAATAGTGGCCGGCATTGTGGCCAGGAAGGGATTCTCCCAGCAAACGCAGAGCAGGATGATAGTGCAGGTGTGGGAGTACTGTAGGTTCTACCTCCAGGATCCGGATAAATTGTGTGTCGGTGTTTTGTCCCTAAGGAGATTCTACGATTTGAATGAAAGGAATCAGCGGCAGATTGAAGAGATAATAAGGAAACACTGGGAGGCGCTTATCAACCCAGAGGATGTGATTAGTGGGTTGATTCTTATGGAGAACCAGGAGCTCTGTAACCGCATTCTCATTTGGCAGCATCTGTTTTGTTCCTCCAGTGTGGCCTGCTTACCCAGCAAACTCCTCATTCCCTATCTGCCATTGCTGTTGCAGTTATACGATGGTTTGTCCTTGGATTGTCCAGCCGCCAGCCAGCTTTCAGCGCTGATAACCCGCTGTTTGGACAACAGGGAAAGGGAAAAGGAGTTGCCAGAGATTCTGCTAAGATTATTCAAGTGGGAAATGGAGGTGGAATCACACCTTTGGCACACCCTTCACCCTCGCATACTCATCTTACCCAGCCAGGATTCTCTTCAAGTTCAGGTCAAGGTAGCCCATCAGGATCATCAAGTGGCTCACGATATGGGCAGGATATTACCCGGCTTACTGCTGTCCAGTTCCCACCATTCCCTCACCTGCAAGGTGTTCCTGGCTCTCTTAAGATTCATGGGTAACCAGTTAAGTGAGGAGGATAAAGGAGATGTGGATTTGCTATCACAGGAAACGGAACTCAAGGACTTTCTCCACTCAAAATACCAACTAAAGCTGGATCTGCTCATAGCTCTCAACCAAATGGTGGCCCATCAGCCTCTAAGAACCCATTTGGCAACGCAGACCCAGGAGTTGTTGGTCATCCTCCAGGACTTAATGCAGTCCAAATGTGGTTACAATGAACACATCCTGCTCATAATCCTCAATCTCTTGGAAGAGCTCTTTGAAGGCAGTGAGGAGGTGCGTCTCTCGGCAGGAACTAAAGAGTTGCAGGAACAATTAAGGGAATTGTCTCGGAACTCGTATAATCCAGAAATCCGGAACTCTGCCCAAGGCGTGTTGTCCAAAATTCAAGCATCCTGGCGGCCCACAAAGGCTCTTCAAACTAAGCACTTTCAAGAAGCTAGAACTATGATTGAACAAAACCAACACCACCTGCAGGCTTATGGCATACAGTTACTCATAGATCTCCTGCAGAAAAAGGACCCTGTTACCCTCTCCCAAAGTCACACGGTCATAGCCTTGGCCCTGACCACTCTCAAGAGCAAGGAGTCCTATGTTTTCCTCAATTGCGTTCGCCTTTTTGTGCAATTGGTTCATGTGATGGAGGCCGAAGTGTTGGACAAGCTCAGCGATGAGTTTCTGTCGGATACAGCCTCGTTGGACCATCGCCTGGTTGTGGGTGAAGCCATCCTTAAGGTGGCCCAGGAGCTGGGTCCTCTTTGCTATCGCTACAAGGCAGTGCTACTCAACTGCTTTATGCATGGCTCCCGGTCTCCCGTTGATGAGTTTCGCATGTCTGCTTTTGCCAATCTTGCCCAGCTGTGCCGTTTGTTGGCCTACCAAGTTCAGAACTTCTTCCAGGAGTTGCTCCATCTGGTTAATAGCGAGTTGACTAGCGGAGGCTATGTTCCCTCTAAGCGGGCAGCTGTCTTGGTTCTCGCTGAGCTCCTAAATGGCATGGAGAATTTGCTGGACTACCAGGAGATGTTGCTGCCCATTTATCGGCTTTTGAGAGCAATAGAAGCGGAGGAGTCCTGCGATCCACAAATGCGTCAGCATGCGGCAAATGGCCTGAAAATATTGAACGAGAAGTGCAGACAACTGATTCAGACGAGCCTGGAGGAGCAACAGTCGCTGGAAAAGCAGATCAAGGTCCTGGGCATCAAGGATGAGGCTACCATCAAGAGGAAAAGTTGCCATATTCTTGAATTGAATTAAGGGATTAAAAAAGATAGTTAAAGTTAAAGTATTTGATAAGTTAAATGTGATATTTTATACAAAAAATGTTAAATAAAAAACCCCTTTTAAATATAATTAAAATTTATCGAATATTTTTCGATATTTTCAATATTTTTACATAAAATAGATGCACTTTATTTCATTTACAATGTGAAATGCCAAGGTTTTTGTCGTCAGTTGCGGTAAAAAATTAGAATTTGAATATTTGAGCTTGAACTATATATTGGTTTTTTGTTTTGGGAGTTTAGTTATCACTTGCCGATGCAGAACTCTGTCTCGATCTTATCGGCAATCATCTTGGCAATGGCCAAGCTGCTGGTGGCCCCCGGCGAGGGAGCATTCCTGCAGTGCAGCACCCGCTTGGCCAGTGCACCAGTTCCCTCGCCGCGATCAAAGACAAAGTCATCCACGAGATTACCCTGCAAATCCATGGCCTGGGCACGCACGCCAGCCGGACCGCGCTGAATGTCGTACTCCGTGATGTCCGGGATGTACTTTTGCAGAGCCTTGACCTGGAGATTGATGAACCAGGACTTGGACATCTCACTGAGCCCAAAGCCAATGTACTTGCTGGCCATCTTGGCGAATCCGGGATAGCGTAGGGCGTCGAAGAGCTCGAACAGGTTGATGTCGGCCCAGCTGGAGGGGGGAAAGGTAATGTAAGGGACACTCTAAACACCCAGTCATAATCCCAAACTCACGTGTAACCCTCTCGCTTCAGGGCCAGCACTGCATTCGGTCCCAGCCAGATGGAGCCATCCATGCGTGGCGTAAAGTGAACCCCGAGGAAGGGAAAGCGGGGATCAGGCACTGGGTAAATATTACCCTTGACCATGTGCTGCTTCTCCTTGGACAGCAGCAGGTACTCCCCGCGGAAGGGCACAATCCGAGGATCCCGAGGGCATCCAGTCTTCTCGGCCAGCAAATCCGATTGCAGGCCACCACAGGTCAGGACATTCTTGGTGCGAACTGTTTGACCCGGCTTGGCGCCATGTATTGTCACCGGATACTCGCTGTCCTCCTGAGTCTCACTGAACTTGCTCACATTGTAGTCCAGGTAGATGTGACCACCGCCTCGCTTGAAGTCCTCACCGTAATACTGGGTAACCAGGCCCCAGTCCACGATTCCGGTGTGCGGACTATGCAGAGCCCTCAGCCCCTGGCAATAGGGTTCGATCTCCTGGATCTCACTGCCCTCAATCATCCGCAGGTCCGGCACCTTGTTGGCAATGCCTCGCTTGTGCAGGTCATCCAGCAGCTTAACCTCCTTCTCGTCGGTGGCCACGATCAGCTTGCCCGTCTTCTTGTACGGTATCTTCTTCTCGTCCAGATAGGCGTAAGCCAAGTGCATGCCCTCCACACAGAGACGGGCCTTTAGGGTTCCAGGCTTGTAGTAAATGCCAGCATGGATCACGCCGGAGTTGTGGCCACTTTGGTGCTTGGCCAGCTTGGTCTCCTTTTCCAGGACGGCGATTTTAAGGCTGGGATGACGCAGGAGGATCTCCCGGGCAGAGGCAGCGCCAACGATTCCACCGCCAACCACGACGAGATCATAGGCGCTGAAGGATATAAACAACGCGTGTTGTAGTCGTAGTTTTAATATTTAGAATCCCTTTGAAACCCCCAAAAAACCACGTAAAACCCAATTCTATCTCTATCTCAATCCCAAAGATCGTAAAAAGTATCTGAACGCGCCACAAAGCAGAGAAAGAGCAAGGGAGAGAGAGTCTTATCAGAATTTTGGACCTACTTACCAGCTCTTTGTTGCTGTGCCGTGCTGATGCCGTTTCTGGGTCGCCACCTGGCTGGTGACCAAGGGATTAGTGAGAGTTTCCGACGTGCCTACCTTGGCCAAACCCACTCTCACTCCGTTGATCAGGAAACGAGCTTGTCCCATTTTTCCAGCTTTCCACCCGCACACACACACACGCACGTAGAATTTGAGCGTCGAAAGACCTTGCTTGACCTTGCCTGTGTTCCTCCGGCAAATTGTGCGTAATGTGCGAACGCCTCCGAGCGAATCGACCGACTGAAGCCTGTGGGAGGTTTTCTGTGTCGCGAGAGCAAATACTTATGCTCACGGGTCGAGCATCTGTGCCGGGGGAGGGGACATGGAGGCGCTAATTGATAAGTACACGGGGGAAAAGCAGATATACGTTCTAGGTGTGTGTGAGGGGGTGGGGGGAACAGGCCGGCGGCAGCGCGTGTCAGCTGTTCGATATTTTTGCTGATAAGTTTCAGAGTGACCAGAGGTGCATATTTTAATAAACCTAAAATAGACACTGTGACTTGAAGAAAGAAATATATTTATAAGATTCAATTTATTTATATTTAAAAGATATCTTGAACAGCAATATTAATTATAAGTTATAATGTATTGTTAATTACCTTTAATGTTTCTATTATTTATATTTTCAAAATAAAAACCCTCAGCTGGTCACACTTTCCGTACTCAAACAAAACAAAAACAGCTGATTGCACTTAATTTTTATCAACTGCATGCAAAAGCAAATAAATTTCTTGAAATTAGGTAAATAAATAGCCTTATTGGGGTGTTTTGACCCACCAAAAGATGCCCGCCCACTGTGCTGTGGTGAATTGCAGCGATAAATATTTGCATGCCGGCAGCATTTCCTTCCACAGGTAAGAAGAGCTGCTACCCCATAGAAAAACTCAATCAAACTGGTTATTTTCCCCTCTCAGATTCCCCTTTAAAAGAAAAGATTTACTGCAAAAATGGCAGGACTTTACCCAGAGGACGGGCCAATGGATGCCCTCCAAGTGGAGTGCCGTGTGCAGCCGCCACTTCGTGGACGATGACTTCAATTGCAGCAACAACCGAAAGACGCTCAAAAAGAACGCTGTGCCCACGGTTAGATTGCCGGAGGAGGATGCCCCAAGTGTGCCAGTGAAGCAGCACGTGGCTCCCACTAGACCAGCGAATAAACCCACCCTCGCTAGTGCCGCCGAGGCGACGGCAACAGGTGTTAAGGCCACCTGCCGCTTTTGCGGCACTTCCGCTCTGAATTGCTCTTCCTTTGACAACAACTTTGAGCTGTTTGGTATGATTCAGAGATGCTTTCCCACGCTCCAGATCCTGCAGGATGACACGCTGCCCAAGGACATCTGCAAGGAGTGCTGCCTGAAGCTGGAGCAATTCTCCCAGTTCATCGATGTGGTCATGCAGGCGCAAAGCGAGTTGCAGCGCAAGTATCGACGCCAACTGAAGATCAAACAGGAGCCTTGTCCGGTACGCGTCAAGCAGGAGGCCTGCGAGAGCCTGGACAATCTGTTTCCCGACGAACTGGACTTGGGCCTGGAGCAGGACGAGGGTTGTGAGCACGAGGAGACGGAGCAAAAGTTCCAATTCTGCGATTTTCCCATGCTGAACTCCCAGGACATAATCAACAATTGTGATATCATGGAGATTATCAATCTGGACGATCCGTTCATCAATATACCGGATGACGCGGACGTGGGGGGTCAGGCGGAGCGATCGGAGCCCCTGAGGACGGCCAATGAGATGCTGCAGTCGGAGCTGCTGACCGAGGAGCATAATTATGCCAAGGAGGAATGGCCTTTGCCCAATCTTCAGTACAAAACGGAGAAGGTGGAGGGTGCAGAAGTGGCTCCAGAGGCTGGTCCTCCTCCGCCTAATGCTCCTCCAGCCATGCCTGATACCCGCTCCTGCAAACCCATTGTCACAAATGTAAGCCAAATACCCAATCCAATGCTCTGCGAACTGCTGCCCGCCCCGGCGCCAGTGCCTCCTCCTCCCACCTCCAGTAAGCCAAATATTGTGGTTCTAAACGACAGCGTGGTCCAATCCTCCGATGCCTTTCGCCTCCACAGCTGCAGCCTGTGCACGGCCAAGTTTATAACTCTGGAAAGCCTGAATCAGCATTTTGCTCTCAGTCACAACAGCACACCCATGGTGAGTGTGCCCGTCAATCTGCCGCTGAATCCTGCCCTGAAATTGGAGGGCAACACTCAGGGCTTTATGGCCACGGAGCCCTTGGATTACTGGCAACCCGAGTGGCAGAATAGTCCTCCTGTAACGGGCTTACAGCAGCAGCAGCAACAGCAGCCAAAGAAAAAGATCGACATACTGGACATGCAGAGCAGCTTCCTCCACCACAAGGATCTCATTCCAGCCACTCAACTGGCAGCCACTGCTCTGCCCCTGCCCGATCCTCAGCTGGCTGTGGTCTCTGCAAATTACGCCAAGCTGGCCGATCGTTATCGTAAATTAAAACTGAAATGTAAAAAGTTAAATCCACCCAAGAGAAGGCATGGCCACACCTGCCGGGTCTGCCAGCGAAGCTTCCCCAGCTTCAAGCAGCTTTTCCAGCATCGTCGCTTCAAGGGACACTTTGTCAAGGTGAAACCCAGCTTCTTGGGACGCTGCAGTGGCTGCCTGAAACTGTTTCGCTCGCGTAGGGGTCTCCGCCAGCACATGAAATACATCTGCCAGAGTTTATCACTGAAGAACCACCAGCGTCGCCTGCAGAGCTTCAAGTGCCGGCACTGTCAGGCCATTGCCTTTGCCCACTGGCGCCTGTATCGTCGCCACGAACTCAATTGTCCGAAAAGAAAGCCGGAGAAAACCAAGACCCACATGTCATCGGCGTCGTCGTCGTCCAGGGCGGTGAAGAAAAAGCAGAGTTTCTCGTGTTCCATATGCAAGAAATCATTCGGTTCCCTCAACGGCCTCAAGCAGCACGACATCACCCACTCGACGGAGCGGCAGCACAAGTGCGGCATCTGCGATCGGGTCTTCAAGCGGCGGAATGGTTTGTCCCAGCACATCAAGGGCTACCACCTGCAGCTCAAGCCGCACGAGTGTCCGGTCTGTGAGCACCGCTATGCCCTGAAATGTGACATGCTGAGGTGCAGGCACTCGCTGAGAAAGGATCCTATGCTGACGGGGAGTGAAAGGAAGCAGTAGGGTACAGGAGCAGGGTGTCCTTGAGAGAGGAGTTAAGGATACTAAATGTTATAAGGGGTATGTGGGGGTTAATTCATAAATATCTTTCTTATGTGCACATAATTATTTATATTCTGCAATGCATACAGGTAAAAAGGTATTGAAAACAAAGATTAAATAAACAAAATTAAATATTCGAGATTTTTCAGTAATTAATAAAGATTAATCAATGTTTTAAACAAACCGCTCCGTTAAAAAATTTAATGAAAAATCATATTAAAATTTTGAGTGCAAGCGCCTTCAATTGTCTGACTACGATCTGGATCCACATGTCAGCACTAGGTACTAAAACCCCACCAAACCCCCCCCACACCACCCCAAAAGGCATTGTAACTCCAGAATAATGAATCCTTCCCAGCTGGAAATTAATTTGTAGCCAAGAAACAAGGTTTCACTATCCAAGAGAATTTTTTGTAAAAAGGTCTAACCAAATAACATAAAAGTTTTAAGATAAAACCAAGTAAAAATAAATCTCAAAAATCATAGAAATTCCAGTTTTGTATTATATACATTTATTTATTAAATTGCAGTATAAGTTTTGTTCTCTAAAAGTACGTGTGTATTTTTTCTTGTGTATTCTCGTATTTAACGCAATTATTAATATTATTAATTAGTATTGCTTTTAATTGCTAAACAATTAAATGTGAAATACTGAAATTGAAACTTAATTGTTCTTAAATATTCCACAGATACATTTATATATATATATATTCCAACAGAGTAAACAGAGATTAACTTTTTAACTTTTTGTTGTATGTACAAAGTAGGTTTGAATTTCACATAAATCATTTACTTAACTAATTACTTCTCTTCTTTTTATTAACAAAAAATTAAAAATTATAAACGAACGAAAATAAAAAATGGCACACTACAAAGTACAAAAAATCAAAATTAAAAATATTATAAATTTCGAAACAACAAAAGGATTACATTTGCGCAACACCAAAGCATAATAAAATATATATGTCTTAAAATTAAAAACACTTTCTCTTAACTAAGGGTTAACTATATATACGCTTTTGGTATGATCTCGTTATCTATATGTTACGTAGGTTTGTGTGTATGAAGAACAAGGATCCCTTGACTGAGACTTAAGGGAAAGAAAGGTGAATAAAAAGGGAATCCAAAGTCATGAATTCAACAATTTTCAGGCCTTTAATAAAAACAAGCTTTAGTTCCTTCAAAAAATAAATCAAAAATTCTCCACAAGGAAACTTTAAATTCCCAAAAATATATTCTAGCTAAGGGATCCTTCCCCATGAGTGCATATATGGGTGGATTATGATTATGGGTATATATCTGCTACTGTATGTGATGCGTTTGATGCTTTGAAAAATGCCTGCCTGCGTCTCCATTTCGATTTAACCTACGCCACAAAATTAAGCGCTAGACTAAGGGTTGGCTCTGCGTATCTACTGAAAGATCGCCGCCCTTTGCTGAAACTGCTGACGTCGTTGGACCCGCTCCTCCTCCTCGCGCCTGCGCTCCTCCTGCTCCGCCCGGATCTCATCGTGGAACTTATTCGTCTTCAGCTGCTGCTCAATCTTCGCCTCGAAGAAGCTCTTCGCCCCACTGACGCCCACCTGCTCCACATCGATCTCGGTGAGGCGGGCCAATTGATTTAGACCCGATTCGGAGTCCAGCTCACCAGCCTGGGCCTTTCTGAAGATCAGCAGGAATTCTCTGAACGAGATCTTGCCATCATTATCCTCATCCACCTCGGCAATCATCTTCTTCAGCCCGAGATGGGTCTGTGGGGCGCCCAGTTTCTCCATCATGAACTTGAGCTCCTGCAGATCCAAGAAGCCATCGCGTGCAGTATCATAGCTGTGGAAAATCGAAAAGAAAACAAAAAAAGAAATCAATTAGTCAGAAAATCAAAGCAGTGAGGAAAGGGCGGGGTGTGAAAACAGATAAATGTTAGTAGTGGTCATTGACCAGGCCCGAGAAACCCGAGAGACACGAGACCGACGCCAATGTCGGCGGGGGATTAGCAATCGATAATGCAAAAGCGTGGGTGCAGCGCCGTGTGTGGCGTCAGAGGTCGCGTGGCCCAAAAGTCGTGGGAGTGGAGGAGGGGGCGCCTCCTCGCCCCAATTTCATGCTAAATTTTGCAAACACAAACTACAGAGGCGGTCGAAACAATAGCAACAGCAGCGAAACGGGCCATAAATCATCCATGAAATCATTAATGAAATCGTATTAATTTGCAAGCCAAATTGTGTGTCTTAAATGGTCAGACTTTGGGTGATATGATTATGATATTAAAGAGACACAAAAGATCTAAACAAAGCCAGGTAATAAATCTGTTTATTTGTTTGTTTTACTTATTTAGAGATTATAAGTTTAATTTAAAACATATGCTGTTGGCAAATACACTTGAAATGTGTCAATGGAAATTGTTGTCTTAGCTTTCTTTTTGTTTAAAAATATTGATATAAAATTTCGGCTTTTATTTTGATTATTAATTAGGTGTTAAATAATTCGTAAAAAATTTTATTCACTCCACAAAGTATTTACAAAATTCTCTTTAATATATTGCAAAGTAAATTAATTAATTAAAAATTAAATTAGCACTATAATTCACAAGTAGCAATTGGTTTACTGCCCTAAAAAATTCCCACAAGCTTCTCTATAGATACCCCTTTTTTTAATTTTTCCCCTAATAACTTACCCAATAAACACCTTGTCTTATATGCCCTCCCATACCCTCTAAAATAATATTTTCTGCCAGAATTTACATCACACGGATTCCCGTTTACTCAACACGCAAGTTCGACGACCGAAATCCGGCGAGTCAAAAGTTCAAATGGCTCTCCCAACTTCCGCGAGGAAATCGCGATTGAAAAATGCAAATAAAATCAAAAGTTGCTAACTAATTGTGTAATATATTAAAAAAGAGAAAACGCAGAGGAGAGTCGCGTGTGGCAGATGAGCCAGCAGATGCCACCAGCCTGTTGTTTGGGGGAACTCGTTTTCACAGGCTAACCAAGCGACCTTGCCTAGCTAGGCGAAGGATACTGATGCTGATGATCTCATGATGGCCAAGAAAACTAGTTAAACTAGTTGCAAGTCTAGTTGCTAAAAATACGCAGCCACTTTTGGCTGACTTCCTTGGCAAACTCAACTTGCATTGACAATAACTACATGATATTAAAACTGAAAACGGATGGATACACACCACACAGTGCACCTTGGGGGATATTACCCAATCACTTTCAGTTTCGATTTCTAGAAGCCCGACCACGTAATGTTTTCATAACGATACTAAGTAGCATCTATTAGATTACGAGTCTCGCTTTCATTTCGTTTTTATTCATTTCAGCATTTAATTGAAACGAATCTTTGTGTATGGACAAATTGCGTGATTGCGTTGAAAAGCGAGAGAGTGAAAGTAATTAGCCAAGATGGAATCCTCTCGAGCGTGGATGATGATGGCTGGAAGGTGTCACCAATGCTGCTGGCCAACTGTTACGCTATCGCCGCCGCCTCTTTAATTAACTCCAATTGCACTCTTTCCCAGAGAGCTCCCCGGAGCATTGCGTCAATGTGACAATTGCTGGTGGCACTTTTTCTTTGCTTTGTATTTATTTTCTGTTGGCTTTTGCCTTGGCTTTTCGCCGATCGGTAGCTCGCTTGTTGTTTTCTTTCAAATTAATCAAGAGGTGTGTGTGTGTCGTTGTCTGGCTTTCTTTTCAATTGTGGCCCACAGAGACGCCACCAACTACTCCAGCTGTTCGATTCAATTAATCAAGCAGCCGCCACTGAAGAGGTCTGTGTTTATCAAGTTATAATTTATCAATTTAGAAGAATTAAAGGGTGGGATTGAACTGAAATAAACTGGCTTGTGGGTTACAGGTAAAATTGGGAGGAAAAACTAATTGGAAATAGTGGAATTTTTGACTTGGATTATTGCAAAATTAAAAAAATCTTTTGTGAACAAATATTTAAGAGATTTCGGCTTCTGTTTTTTAATTTTTTAGAATTTTTTTTGGTGCTAAATATATTATTGAGTAAATATATAAACAACTTCAACATAATTAACCCATTTTCTTGATTTTTTCACACTAACACGATAAATATTTTACACAGCTAAAAGGTTTCAAACATGTTAATTCGCACTTCTTGGTTTACAATCAAAATCTTTAATAACAAATTTGGAAACCAAATAAAAAGTTTATTTTTAATATTTGTAAACATATTTGGGACAAAGGCCTAAAGAGAACTGAGGAATTTACTCACACAAATTATTATTGTAAAGTGTACTATTTATTATTAAAAGATAATCATTTACGAAAGTCTTTAAAGAATGCGAAATCTTCTTAAAGAATTCCTTTGGGAAATGTCACAAGATCCCTTGAAATTCCTTTCCTTTTAAAGTAATTTTAAACCATATTTATCCCCATATTTCTTGTATATATTTTAACCAAAAGAACACCTGCTGTGTTCCTGCTGCTTTCCCAATTTCCTGCCTCAGTTGGATTTTAGCCTAATTTTTATTGATTTGTTTTCATTTCAATGAATCGCACAACTTCACACACTCCTGTGGGGGTGTTAAAGCATCTTTCTGCCTCATTGCATGTGGCCAATGGTGTTGTTGTTGTTATTGTTGTTGTGGCAGGGCCATATGCTATATCGGCCTGCGATTTTCATTTTCTTTATCGTTATTTCGTGTACAGTTCAACAAATAACGGGGTCAGCTGGCCATTGTTATTGGTGTTGTTTATGCATGCCGCAATTTGCATCGTAAATTTATCTATGCATGTGTACTTGCTAAACAATTTTGGTCAAGAGAATAGAATCACTTTTGGGAAATGGTATTGGAAAGGGAAGTATTTCTTGTAGTTTCTAATTTGTTTGATATTTTGGGTTTAATATAATTGTTTATATATTATTTTAAAATTGTTTTTGGGGCTTTGGAAAATAGAAAAATGCAACAGAAATTAAAAAGATAAAAAACGACATAAACTCAACCAAAGTTATATTGTTTTTCAAGTTTTTTAAACATTTTTCAATGGAAAACTATTATTTCATAGTTGTCCTATACAATTTTCAACGAAAACCCTATTCGAGATCCCTTTTGTAAAGCAAAAACCTTAACTATTCGTTATTTTTTAAAACTACATATTACTGTTCCTACCATTTCACCTGCAATTGTATGTTTAAACCGGCAATTACTTTATTGAACACGGCTTCTCTTTATTAGCTGCCTAATGTCTATGGCAATTGCAACTTGCACACTCTGTGAGTGGCGCTTTTTGTGCCCCCGATGCCCAAGCGGGTTAATGCCAAAGGGAGTCCGTCCGTCCGTCTGTTCGACTCCGATTCAGACTGTGATTCTGATTTTTGCAGCTAGAAAAAAGCTTTGTTAAAGTTCTGTTGAACTCTGACGATGACTGCTGCTCTGTGTAACGGCTTTTTGTGAACTCAAAATGCCTGGCACGTCTTCTCGCTGGGCGTAGTTTTCATCATCATTGTTGCCTGAGCCCGCACCGTGGGCCTTGTCCCCCTCGAATCGAAACGAAAAACGAAGAAATGTTCAAGGGCCCATGCCTTGCATACACAATTTGATTGTTTATTTCGATCGTCTGGATCGTCTCACCTGCCCGACTGTTTTTTTATTTGTCGGTTTCGAAACCAAACATGCACCTGTGCACATTGCCTGCTGGACAAACACACACAGCGGAGAACAGAGGGACATTGAAAGATATGCCGCCGCTTGGTTCGGCTCGGCTAGGTAAAATTGTAAATCAATAAAATACACATGACTGCAGAACTTGCATTTAAAATGATGGTCGTAAAAATATGGGGTTAATTGGATGAGTAATCGTGATCGTAGGGGTTAACACCTCGAGGGGAACTATTAGCTTTGGAGCAAAGTGGTTTCAGGGGGTTTTTCTGGATTATTTAACAGGGATTTCTGAGTAAATAAAGTATTAGAGATCACAAAGCATTAAAGACAACTCATAAATATATAAGAGAAAATATTTTAATAATTTTTCAAAGACTTCAAAAATCAAATAAATAATTCTGCTAAACAACCTCAACGCAGTCCTAAAAAACCTCTTCAGATACATTGAAGAGGTTTTTTAGGACTGCGTTGAGGTTGTTTAGCATCTATATCTATATTTATTTTCTTAATTCATTATATAAAAACTACTTTACTTAGTCCCTTAAATCTTTCTCCCATCAATAAATCTAACTCCTAATGGGGGTCCATCGTTCCCATCCTTTTCCAACGAGCCATAAAATGTGTGTGGCATGGGGCTTCCCCTAAAAATAAACTCGCCATATTTTTGACATTTCGAAATTGGAGCAAACGCAAAGCAAAGTGGAAGTGTAAGAGTAACGTTGCGTGGGTCGTCCCGCCGCCTGATTATTTTTAGTTTTAGCTGCTTAGGCCTAGGCTAGCTATGTAGCTTGTTGCAGGAAACCAGAGGCAGCTGCAACTCGGGTCTCTTCTGGTTTCTTATCGCCCCAGCAGAATGGGTAAATCAAACAACTAAAGTGGACAATGCATTAATGCAGTGACTAATTGCCGAACAAGTTGGGGGGCACACACAGCGCACTGAATGGCTGACTGGACAGAGTGATGATGATGCCGCCGCTCGCTACATAATTTGATATTTCCTCAATTGAGTGGACACAACAACGAGAGGCGAACACAACACATTAAACATGATCACAATGGTGGTTAATGTATTAGCAGTTATCAGTCATAATATGTTTAATCATCGTGTAAATATTGGCATTATTATTGGGTCATCTGGTTAGTCAGAAAAGTTAGCAAGTAACTCAAGGGGAAACATAAAAAAACAGAGAAATTT